GCTTAGTTTTTCAGATCTTTGCTGCGGAGGGACGGCGTGGTGCTTCTGCCTAGAGCGCCATTTTGCCAGAACTTCTAAAGATATATAATTTTGAGTACATTTCAAGCTAGGGCAGAAAACATACATTCCATGATTTCTTAGCAGTTTAGCAACTGATTATGTTAAATGGTGTCATCTTTAGATTCTCTCCATAATCTGGCCTGTTACTGTTCTGTTCTAAAACCCATTGCTGTCCAGTCAGTTCTGACTCATAGCGACCCTATAGGACAGAGTAGAACTGCCCCAAAGGGTTTCCGAGGAGCAGCTGGTTTATTCTTCTGTTCTAGGTTTTAGTTCTTTAAGAGTAGTCTAAAGCCCTCTTATTATTTCTTCAATCTCTTGACTTCAGTGCCTACTCAGCAGTGTTTTGTTTTGTTATTTACCTTTCCTGTTCCTCTGAATTCTGTGTAATGGAAGATAATGTTATTGAGGTCTGCATCCTTTCTGTCAGCTATTAACATTAGCCTACCTGTGTGCTCCAAGCAGCTCCCATATAGCTGCCACCTTTTGAGCACTTGCCATGTACCTGATACCTGTAAACACTTAATGAGTACTTACCAACATTAGATTTAATCTCTCAACAACCCTGAAAGGAAGATTTTTTTTATAACTTTATTGAGTTATAATTTACAGATAATAAGATACATCCATTTTAATTTGATGAATTTTAGTAAATTTATAGATTTTCAGCCATCATCAAGAACACTTCCTTCATCCCAAAAAGTTCCATTATGCCTATTTGTACTCAACCCCTACTCCCAACCTCAGACCCAGGCTACCACTTGATCAGTGTTCTGTATATAATTTTGCCTTTCCTAAAGAAATTTCGTATAAATTCAGATCTCATATAAATTTCCTTAGAAATTGTTTAGAATGGAATCATGCAATAAGAAGTCTTTTGTGTCTAGCTTATTTTACTTCTGAGAGGTAGATTTGATTATTTCCATTTTACAGGTGATAGACTGAGGCAGATTGAAGTTAAAACAGTTTCCATAGCTAGTAAGTAGGAGGGCTAGATCTGTCTGACTCCAAATCCCACGTCGCAAGCACTATTAACTCCTTATTTGTATCAGGCATGGCTCTAACAGCCTGTTTTGTTAATCTCAGGAATTTTTCTAGATTTAATTATCCTTCCACTCCTCTTTTAGGTTTGTGCTACTCTCTTGCATTTGTCCTTGATTATAGACCTTTTTTTTTTAAAAAAAATCTTTGTTAATTAACAAATTAAGTTTGTAAAGGACTATTCTTGTTTATACCTCCACACCTCCAATTCTCCACAGCAATCTCTTTATACAGCATGGGTTTAGCATATGAACATGTAGTTTCATGTACTGCCCCCAATCAAAAAAGAGGGAGAGGAAAGACAATTTAAACAGTGTTGTAAAATTGTGTGTATGTGTTTGCTGAGTGCTCTTCTTTACAGTAGAGTGCTTACTTATAATATAAGGAAAGACTTTAAAATGAGCTCTTCAGAAAACTCATGCAACTACATTGAGCTATTTAGAAATTTACTAATTTTATTGTTAGCTTTTATTTTTAAGACCATTTCTTTCAAACTTGCTGTTCTTTACTATCATGCTTATGTTCCTCAGAATTTTTGAAGCTTGCTCTTTTAAAGTCTCTGGTACATAACAGCTATTACTAACCGTGCCCCTTTCTTAAACTCTTGTGAACTCTAAGGTGCCTTGTTTAGTTCTATATCTTCAACTGGTTCTTTGCTCAGAAGTGATCCCAGCATGCCAGTTACCCTTACTTCTTTATGTTTCCTCAGAAAAAGAAATTAATATCAGATCCCCGTTTTAGCTGAAGATATTCCAGCAGATGTCTACAGGGTTAAAGGACCCAATCCTAGATTCTTGGATGAAGGCATTAACAACAATCTAACAATGATATCTAACAATTACTGAGTGCTTACTATATCCCAGGCACTTTACATGTTTTAACTAATTTCTTTTCACCACAACCCATAATGGGTGGACACTATTAATATGCCCCCATTTTTGAAATTGAGACACAGAAAGGTTCCACAGCTAGTAAATGGCAGAACTAGGATCAAACTTGAGTGGTTTGGTTCCAGAGCCCAAGTTCTTACCCACTGTGCTGTGTTCTCTTAGCAACAGAGCAGTCTAAGGTGCCCACCTAACTTCATTTGGGCAAATGTCTATATTCCTGAGTTGTCAAATGTTAGGATTTCAGAATAGAGTCTATGAAACCTGAGCCAAGGTTTAATTATTCAATGCTCTTAGAATTGGCTGCTCTTCCTTAATGGATGTAAGCTGACTGCTGATTAATAAAACCAGCAGATTATGTAAACACAGTTATTGTGAAGCTCATTTTTCTTGGGCTAGTGTGTTTCCAGTTAGTGGAGCTAATACTATCTTTCCAAAACTATTGAGCCTTTTTGTCCTCAGGGCTTTTCTTGCCAGGGTGACCTTTAAAAACTAAATAGCAACTGTCATGTACTTTCAGAAGTAGCATTTATTCCACTCACTGAAAAGATCCAAGATTTATGCTGAGTAGTTCACAGATGGATTGGCAGATACCGTATATACACGAGTCACCCTGGATCAGAAGTAACTGCAGCGGCCAGAATTACATGCATTGGTAGTCCATTGGACCATGAAGCTATGGGAAGATGAAGGAGAAGAAAGTAACCTGAACCTTTTATCTCTCATATGACTCTTAAACACAGTGATGACCTGCAGGTTTTGAGCATTGCAAACCTGGACTTGCTTGTTCACATCTGACCTCTTCTGTTTTGCTTCTAGCTGAATATCAAGAAATACCTCCTGGTATCTGCACCTCTGTGGATAAAACATGTCTCTGAGGAACAGCTCCTGGCTTTTGTTGAAAACTTAATGGTGGCAGTTTTTCAAGCTGCTCCCCGCATTTCAAGTACTGAGTTATGTCAGAATTCCTTACAGGGTCTAAGCCAGGCCATGAAACTGCCCAGCCCTGCCCACCACCTCTGGAGTCTGCTCTGTGATGCTGTTGGGAAAATTTTTGACCTTCTGCCAAATAAGATTCGGGTAAAGAACAAAAATATTTACATTCCTGACAATTTATGTTTGGGATTTTTTAAAGCTTTTTTGGCAAAGCGGGAGGTGTATGTTTTAAAAATGTGGGTGGGAAGGCCAGCAAGAAATGACCACATTCTTCACTAGGAGTGCATTTGCTTCCAAGATCTAAATTGAGGTTGAATATGTAGAACCAAAATTTGGAGCAAGCTCAGAAGCAGGTTAACCAGTGCTGCACCAGGAAATTTGCTGTCAGGCCTTTTCACCAAATGCCTGTAGAAAATGAGCAGTTTGAGAAACCCTTCCACTTTACACCTGGAGAATCCTGGGCATATAGTCCAATATACTGTATATAACAAGTGATTTAATACTAGCCCTTTCCCTTCCCCAACAGACCTCCAAATCATAGTTTTACAAAGAGATTACAAATCTATTTGGAATGACAGAATTCTGATAAGCAGGGAAAAAAATCACAGCCAAGCAAATACATAAAGTAACAGGAAAGATGTTTTTAAAATCATAAAATTGACCGTATGTTCTGGTTTGGTTAAAATAGAAATCTCATCAGCTGGGGGTCATGGGAATAAACAAATCTAATAATGTGACAGAACATAGAGAATTGACATGTTATCTTACAATATATTTTGACATACTCGGGATTTTCCTTTACCAGAGAAATGATATAGAGCTGTATATCAGTGTAGCAAAATGCCTCTTGGAAATGACAGATGACAACATCAATCGAGTTGCCCAGATTACTAAGGTAATATCATACCTTTTTTTTTTTTTTTCCATTGCTGAGGTAAAAATTACAATTGAAGAGATGATTACAGTACCATTTTGGGTGAAGCTAGTTTTACTTCATATTTGTTACTCATTAATTTCAGGAGCCTACCTTTCTGTTTGGCTGTGGGGTCTAGTGTCTGGCATAGTAGCTTGGTTCGTAATTAATAAATGTGGTATGGATGGAAAGATGGATGAATAACTTTTTAACTCAATTTTCTCCCATTTTGTCAAGAACATTTTAGTGTCACCTGTGGCAAAAGAAAATGGAGTCCCTGGGTAGTGCAAATGGTTAACACTCTCAGCTGCTAACCAGAGGGTTGGAAGTTCTAGTCCACCCTAAGGCATCTCAGAAGAAAGGCTTGGCAATCTACTTCCAAAAATATCAGCCCTTGAAAACCCTATGGAGTACAGTTCTTAACACAGATGGGGTCACCATGAGTTAGTGCTAACTTGATGGCAACTGGTTTTTATGGGCAAAATTAAGTACAAGAGAACCTCTTCAATACAAAATCCATGAAAATGGGAATATCCTGATCAAAGTACTTTCTGGTGCATGGAAAGCATAAATAGTCTGTTCTCACACCTCATACTTATCCTTTTGGAATGAAACAGGTGGTTGATTGAAAAATAAGCACTATTAGCCCCGACACAGGGTAATTAACATATACTCCCCATGGCCAGTCAAACAATGAATGAGCAAAAAGTGCCAGATTTAGCAAATAAAACACAGATGCCCTGTTAAATTTGAATGGTAGGTAAACAATAATTTTTTTGTGTAAGAACGTATCCCTGGACATACTTATTCAAATGGAAACCCTGTATAACAGGTGGTACCACAGGTCTAGAGACCTGTGAGCCCTCATATGGCTGGTGGACATCTCATCACTTTTTTGTCTTTATGGCAAGTGTGCCTATTCAGTTGAAATCCTTGAATTTCTGTATCATATAGCAATGGTTCTCAAAATATGGTCCCTAGACCAGCAGCATCAGCATCACCTGGAAACTGATTAGAAATGAGAATTCTCAAGCCCCACTCCAAACCTATGAAATCAGAAACTCTGGAGGTGAGGCCCAGAAATCTGTTTAACAATCCCTCCAGGTGATTCTGATGCATACTGAGGTTTTTAAACAACTGTTACAGAGTATTTGGGACATCAGCATTTTGAAGATCAGTTTGTTTCAGGCAAGGAGCAGCAGTTTAACAAAATGTTACAAGAATGGACTCTGGAGCCTCACTGCCTGAGCTTTGAAATCCAGCTGTCTAATTTACTAGCAAAGGAGCCCTGGTGGTACAACAGTTAAGTGTTCGGCTACTAACCAAAAGATTGGCGATTCAAACCCACCCAGGGGCTCCATGGGAGAAAGACCTGGTGATCTGCTTCCACAAAAGATTATAGAATTGACTCAGTGGCACCCAACAACAACAGCTTACTAGCAATGTGACCTTGATTAAGTTTCATAATCTCTCTCTGCCTCAGTTTCCTTATCTGTAAAAGGGAGATAGTAATAGCATGTACCGCTTAAGTCCATGATCAGTAGTTGGAGCAGTGCCTGGTACAAGGCGGGTACTCAGTAATTATTATTTATTATCATAATTATATTATATTTATGTAATACATGGCATAATATTATTATATTCATGTAGTATGTTGTTGTTAATTGCCATCAAGTCAATTCCATGATATAGTTGAAAGTAATGCATATAATTTATTTCTTGGTATCTAGAGCTAAAGGTTGTTATGTTACTCACTTGGGTTCCAAAAGTACCATTTAGAACATCTGATGGCCCCAAGTGAGTTAGTGGGCTCTGCCAAGGTCAGAGTTACCTATTCTTTTCTGGAGGTAAGAATAAGGTAGTGGTGAAGACTTTAGACTCCCTAGGTTCCAATCCTTGCTTTGCCACCTGTAGCTATGTGACTCTAAGTTCCTTAACCTCTGTGCTTCAGCTTCCTCATCAGTAAATTAAGGATGAGAGTAGTAAGCCACTGCATAGAGTTAGTGTGAGAATTAAATGGTTATTACAGTGGTTCTCAAGCTTTATGGTTTTAGGACAACTTTAGTGTCTTAAAAAAGAACTCCTATTTATATGGGTCATATATGTCAATATTTACCACACTAGAAATTAAAACCAAGAAAATTTTAAAATATGTATATATTTGTTCTAAAATAATAAGAATAAACCCATTACATGTTAACATAAAAAAGAAAAAAAATTAAAAACCCCCAAAAAGTGAGTTAAATGGCATTGTTTTACATCTTTGCGAATCTCTTTAATGTCTGGCTTAATAGAAGACAGGTGGGTTGTCGCAGCTACTGCTTCATTCAATCTGTTCTAATGTTTTTGGTGAAATACGTGAAGAAAATCTAGGCTCACACAGATATGTAGATGGAAAGGGGAGAAGTGTGTTAATAGTCTTTTCATATCATTGAGGTTATCCTTCTTTGATATTGACTAAAACTCAACAAGTGGTACCTTCTTAGAGTTTCATTTCACTGTGGAATCTGAAACCATATCAATGATTTTCACATACGCTGTTACATTAGTGTCTATTGGTTTAGCTTATTCTTCAGCTTCTTTGGAGCCCTGGTGGCATAGTGGTTAAGAGCTTGGCTGCTAACCAAAAAGGTCAGCAGTTCAAATCCACTCGGCTGCTAACCAAAAGGTCAGCAGTTTGAATCCACCAGCCACTCCTTGGAAACCCTGTCGGGCAGTTCTACCCTGTCCTATAGGGTCTCAATGAGTCAGAATTGACTCAATAGCAATGGACAATGGGTATGGCTTTTTCACCCATGCATGATTTTCTAACATCATACATTGGTTCTTTGGAAAATATTGGATCATTGAGTTTTAAAGATCTTCTACGTGTTGGTGCATTTCATTATACAATAATAAAACATCATGTTTGTTAACATCACTGGCAAGATTATCAGAAATGTCTTTATGTATTAGAAGCTACCAAGCTCGTGGTAAACCAAAAAACTCAAATCCACTGCCATCGAGTCAATTCTGATTCATAGTGACCCTATAGGACAGGGTAGAACTACCCCATAAGGTTTTCAAGGCTGTAATCTTTACAGAAGCAGATTGCCACATCTTCCTCCCATAGGGCAGTTGGTGGGTTCGAACTACCGACCTTTTGATTAGCAGCTGAGCACTTAACCACTGCACCACCAGGGCTCCTTAGCTCACAGCAGCAGATGAAAATTTTCCAAAAATCTCATTTTTCACTTGGAAGCTCAGACTTTATCATTGGCAACAAATACTGTCAGATATTTTCCTTGAAGTGACAGCCTCCCTTTCCTTCAATTTTAAGAAAATAATCTGTCAAACACCCAGTTTGAATAACCGGAGTTTATTGGTCATTCTTTCAAGTAAATGGTGTTCCATGAGAAGAGTGGCTAGTTCCTCTCACAACTCAATCTTACAAGTGTTTTTCCTTGAGACAACCATTGTCCTTGGGCATGCAGCAGATGACCCTTACATGTGCTTCCCATTTCGTCACACAGAATATTCAAAAGATGTATACTCATGGGTAGAGGTTTAATAAAATTAATGATCTTATTGCTTCAACAGAACATTTTAAATGAAATTTTTGTTTGTCTGTTTGTGTTTACTGCAAGTGGCGGTGAAGAACACAATAAATACTGGTACAATTTGGTGCCACCATCTTGATTCATGCTAAAGTGCCAGCATTTTTTCCCACCTTTGTTTTTGTACCGTGAGTGTGGATGTGAATACAGTGGAAAAGGCCAAAAATGTTTTAGTAGTACTATAAAAATAATTTTGACCTCACAGATTCTCTAGAAGGAGTTTGGGGGTCCCCCAGAGGACAGTGTACTGTACTTTGAGAACTGCTGTGAAGTACTTAGAATGGTGCCTGGCACATGATAAGTACTGTATCTGTTAGTTATTATTATTATTTATGCATACTTACTAAAAAAGTAATCAAAGAGCTCTGGTGGCACAGTGGTTAAGAGATTGGCTGCTAACCAAAAGGTGGGCAGTTTGAACCCACCAGTTGCTCTGCAGGAGAAAGATACGGCAGTCTGCTTCAGCAGAGTTATAGCCTTGGAAGCTCTATGGGGCAGTTCTACTCTGTCCTATACGGTTGCTATGAGTTGGAATCAATTCAATGGCAATGGATTTGGGTTACTAAAAATCATCACCAACTAACACCTGAACACATTTATGTTTGTTGTAAAAAAAGAGGAAGTGACATTACAACCCTCTTTGTGTATGGAGTTTTTAATATAGCACATAGACACAGAGGACACATGCTGCAGGAAATGAACATTTTTAGTGTTTAGAGTAGTAATCAACTTCAGACTCACTCTGTTTTTGTGCACCGAGGGTTCTGTAGCCACTTTAGACCATTTAATAGTAACTGAACAATTTGCCTTTTTTGCAGAGCAACATAGAAAAGGCTGCCTTTGTCAAACTGTACTTAATCTCTCAAGGACGATTCCCCTTGATGCACTTGTCTGATGTGCTCAGTGTCGCTGTGCAGCACCAGGAGAGGGAGACACTGGCCTGGATGATACTGCACAGCTTATACCAGGCGCGGATCGTGAGCCATGCCAACACAGGTGACGCCAGCCTGCGCAAGCATCAGCCACAGAAATGTCTGCTGCCACCTGTCCCTTTTAAGTTGTAGTTTTCTCAACTTCAAAACTAGCTTCTTGGAAAACTCCTGTTTAGCACTGCGGTGACACAGGTTAGGCTTTCTTACCCTAGATAAGGAGTGCCTTGAGTGGAAATGAGCAGTTATAGCTCACAACATCCACGTCTTGGAGATGGAAATAAATTCTTTTGAGGGTTTTTACATTGCATTTGGCCCTCCAGACCCTCACACACAAGTTTACCAGGTTGCTTTTGCCTGTTTAACTTCAGTTTCCCAAACAGACAAGACGTAGATTGATTTTACCTGATGTTTTTAGGAAAATGTTTTTTGGGTGGTCATTTAACAAACAAAAAACAGCAACAACAAAATTAAATAGTTGTTCTATACAAGGATTTCTCAGGGGTGAGAAGAATAAATCTGGCCACCCTATGTACATCTGCAAGCTAGAAGCTCCAAGCTTGAAGCCTGGCTAATGAATTCCATGGTGCAATGTTTAGAGCATTTTAGACATTGCACTTGGATAATTCCCTAAAAAGGAGGCTCCCCTGCTTCTCCTCCCATCTCTTTGGTCATATGCTTACAACTTCTCAAGTCTACATTCAGGTTCTGAATGGCACCCAGCTCAAGGGGATCAGCTGTGGCTGAGAAACCCTTGTGACCCTAGACAAGCTACTTCTGTTTTTGTGGCCCATTTCCCCTATCTCTTGTATCTTCAAAGTTTTGAAGGAAGAACATGATTGTAATACTGTTTTCAAGACTATATAAGAAATTGTGATTCATTCTGCCCTTTGGCAATTGAGACAGTTATTTCTGCACGAATGCCTGTCCGCTGAAAAATGAACCTGTGATGTGAAACTGGATTCTTACTCTAAAACAAAAGTATATTTATCAGAAAAAAAATCTAGTAGGTGTTCCCAATTAAGCTTGAAGACACATGCAATACACTGAAATAAATTTGATATTGCTCTTAGTTCTACCTAGCTGACCCTCAAATGTAGTTACTATTCTTTTTCTTATTCACTACATTTTTTTAATTTTATTGTTGTACTTTAAATGAAAGTTTATAATTAAAGTTAGTCTCTCATACAAAAATTTATACATACATTTTATGTGACGCTTATTGCTCTCCCTATACTGTGACAGCACACTCCTCCTTTCCACCCCTGATTTCCCATGTCTATTCAACCAGCTCCTAACTCTCTCTGCCTTCTCATCTCACCTCCGGACAGAAGCTGCCCATTTAGTCTCATGTAACTACTTGAGCTAAGAAGCACACTCTTCATGAGTATCATTTTATGTCCCATAGTCAAGTCTAATCTTTGTCTGAAGAGTTGGCCTTGGGAATGGTTTTAGTTCTGGGTTGACAGAGAGTCCAGGGGCCATGTTTTCCAGGGTTCCTCCAGTCTCTGTCAGATCATTAAGTCTGGTCTTTTTACTAGAATTTGAGTTCTGCACCCCACTTTTCTCCTGCTCCATTGGGGATTCTTGTGTTCCCTGTCAGGGCAGCCTTTGGTGGTAGCTGGGCACCATCTCGTTCTGTCTCAGGCTGATACAGTGTCTGGTTTTATTCACTACATTTTTAAAAACCTTCCCAAGTAGTCTTTACTGTGCTGGGTATCCGCATTTTTAAAAAACAAAAAAGGAAAAATCAATACTTATGCTGATATTTGTTCTCCAGTTACCCTATAAAGGCTGGTTTTTATTTTTCTTTTTATGTCTTTGAATATGTTTTGTCCGTGATTTTGGCATAAATTCGGAATGCTTAAGCAAAAGAGGACTATAAAAACAACTAATTGCCCAAGATTCAACATTACTGGCTAGTCAGCATTTCATATTTCTCCTAGCATGTTTAATGTTGAGAGAGAAACTCCCCAAAAATGCATTTTATCACTAGTGGCTTGATAGGTTTGAAGACTAGATTAGCTTTTGAAACTAAAGACAAAATACCTTCACCTGATATTAATAGGTGAACTCTCATATGTAATTGCAAGTCTCATGTCCTACAGGAGGGTATGGAGCTGTTGCAGGGAATCCTTACCAGGTGTTCTGCTTCAGTTATCTTGGTTATTACTGATCCATTTTACATTTCAAATTGAATTGTACAAGTGAAGAATACTGAAATGACAAATCTTTTGTTATACCTATATCTATGTTACCACAATTAAAAATAAATAAATAAATTTTTGCCTAAGCAGCTAGGTATGATCATCCCTGATTACTGAAAACTTCAAGTACTGACAGAAAAAAAGGAGGACCATGATTGTGGTAAGAAAATGTCCTTTTCATTTCAGGCGTGTTGAAGCGAATGGAGTGGCTCTTGGAAATGATGGGTTATATTAGAAGTGTTGCTTACCAGTCAACATCTGTTCAGAATGTGGCTCTTGATAAGGTAAAATCTATCAGAGAATTTGTAGCTTCCTTAAAATGTAGAATGTCTACTTATGCTCTGAAAAGAGGACTATGTTTTTGCTTGTAGCTTTACTTTCCCCTCTTCCTTTCATTTTTGAGAAATAATAGTGACAACTCTATGGGTCCACAAGGAAACGGGTGTTCTTACCGTGCCCTTGGAGACACCCAAGGCTGTCCTTTGAAAGATATTTTGACAGGCAGAACACAAAGGACACTAGCTGGAGAGGGAACCCAGGGTGCTGTGTACTTGGACTTGATCCCACAAAAGACCTGGCAGTACAGAGACTCTGGCCTCTGTACTGGCCCAGAGCCCAGCTTCAATCTCCTGGTTAGAAGAGTTTCCTAAAGTGTATGCAAAGAGCCTGTATGTGTGCCCCTGCTTGCATGCATGTATACACATATTGGAGTTCAGTTTTTATCATACTCGAAAAAGTACCTATGATTCAAAAAAGGTTAAGAACCACTATTATTGGGTGAGATAAAAAAGAAAAAGATCAGTAAAAAATAAAATGAAGACTGCTCTGCCCCACTTATCCTCATTTACTTGACTGAGCTGGCCTCTGTGCACTTTTTTGTAGTCGATTTTTTTTTCTACAGACATGTTTCATGGGTGTCCTATATACTGTGCGAGTAAAATTTGCATCACTTGGAATGTTGTTTGAAATTCTGCCCACCTTCCCTGAAGACTTGTGTGTCATGTTGGAAATTTTAATTAGTGAAATTAGGAATATTATGAGATTGAGGGGTGGTTTTTAATTTTTTTAAAGAGCATATTTTGTCCTTTTTTTTTCCCTTCTAATCTCTTGTTTGTATCAACTTCTTCTGTTTTCCTAAAAAATGTATCTTCAAAATCTTAGAGACTACAGGCAGAAAGAAGTATAATTTAAACCTCAGTAATCCAACAACAGACCCCTGGTGGTGCAGTGGTTATATACTCAACTGTTAACCAGAAGATCAGCAGTTTGAACCCAACAGCTGCTCAGTGGGAGAAAGACCTGGCAATCTGATCCCATAAAGATTACATTCTTAAAACTCAACAAAGACACAGAAGATCTAAATACCACATTCAGCCAACTTGACCTCATAGACATATACAGAATACTTCACCCAACAACAGCAAAGAAAACATTCTTCTCCAGTGTTCATGGATCATTCTCCAGAATAGACCACATTTTAGACCACAAAGCAAGCCACAAAAAATTCAAAAACATTGAAATAATATAACGTATTCTCTTTGATCACACTATAAAAGTTGAAATCAGTAACCATAAGAGCAAGGGAGAAAAATCTAATATATGGAAACTAAATAACACCCTGCATTAAAACTACTGGATAATAGAAGAAATAAGGATGGGATTAAAAAATTCCTGGAAATGAAGTGAGAGTGAAAACACAACACACCAAAACCTTTGGGACACAGCAAAAGCAATGCTCAGAGGTCAATTTTTAGCAATAAATGCACACATCAAAAAAGAAGAAAGGGCAAAAATCAAAACATTAACCCTACAACTTGAACAATTAGAAAGAGGGCAGCAAAAGAAGCCCACAGTCGCCAGAAAAAATGAGATAATGAAAATTAGAGCAGAAATTAATGAAACAGAGAACAGAAAAACAATAGAAAGAGTCAACAAGATGAAAAGCTGGTTCTTCAAAAGGATCAATAAAATTAAAGCACTGGCCAAATTGACAAAAGAAAACCAGAAGATAATGCAGATGACCCAAATAAGAAATGAAATGGGTGACATTACAACAGAACCAACTGAAATAAAAAGGATCATAATAGAATACTACAAAAAAAGTTGTACTTCAACAAATTTGGAAAACTTAGAGGAAATGGACAAATTTCTCGAAACACACTACCTACCTAAACTAACACAAATTGAGATAGAAAATTTGAACAGATCCATAACATAAGAAATTGAAGTGGTCATTAAAGAAACTCCCAACAAAAAAAGCCCTGGCCCAGATGGCTTCACTGGAGAATTCTACCAAACATTCAGAGAAGAGTTGACACCAATTCTACTCTGTCTATTCCAGAACATAGAAAGGAAGGAATACTCTTGAATACATTCTATGAAGCCACATAACCCTGATACCAAAGCTAGGCAAAGACATCACTAAAAAAACTACAGACAAATATCCGTTATGGATTTAGACGTAAAAATTCTCAACAAAATCCTAGCTAATAGAATTCAACAGCATATCAAAAAATAATACATCATGACCAAGTGAGACTCATACCAGGCATGCAAAGATGGTTCAACATTAGAACATCAATCAGTGTAATCTACCACATAAATAAAACAAAGGAAAAGAATCACATGAACATCTCAATCAATACAATTAATAAAGCTGAAAACTCCTGATAAAAACTCTCAGCAAAATAGGAATAGAAGAGAAGTTCTTCAACATAATAAAGGGAATTTATATAAAACCAACAGCCAACCTTATCCTCAACTGAGAGAGTCTGAAAGCATTCCACTTGAGAACGGGAACCAGACAAGGATGCCCTTTATTACCACTCTTATTCAACATCGTATTGGAAGTCCTAGTGAGAGCAATAAGGCAAGAAAAGGAAATAAAGGGCATCCAGATTGGTGAGTAAGAAGTAAAACTATCCCTGTTCACAGATGATATGATCCTATACATAGAAAATCCTGAAGATTCCACAAGAAAGCTACTGGAACTAATAAAAGTATTCAGAAAGTGGCAGAGAGAAGATCAACATACAAAAATCTGTTGGATTCCTCTACATCAACAAAGAGAACTTCGAAAAGGAAATCAGGAAAACAATACCATTTACAATAGCCCAGAAAAAGATAAAATACTTAGGAATAAATCTAACCAGGGATGTAAAAGACTTGTACAAAGAAAACTACAAAACACTACTTCAAGAAACCAAAAGAAACCTATGTAAATGGAAAAACATACCATGCTCTTGGTTAGGAAGACTTAACATTGTGAAAATGTCAGTACTACCCAAAGCAATATATAGATATAATGCAATCCCAATCCAAATCCCAATAGCATTCTTCAATGAGATGGAAAAACTAATCACTAGCTTTATATGGAAGGGAAAGAGGCCCCAAATACATAAAGCATTATTAAAGAAGAACCTTTGTTGTTGTAGGAGGCCTTTCACCACCTCATCTCAGAACCTGCTATACAACCACCCATGGTAGTCAAAGCAGTCTGGTTTTGACTACTACAACAACAACACACAGACTAATAGAACAGAATTGAGAACTCAAATGTAAATCCATCCACCTGTGGACAGCTGATCTTTGACAAAGGATCGAAGTCTATTAAATGCGAAAGAGAGACAGTCTCTTCAACAAATAGTGCTGGAAAAACTGGCTATCTATCTTTAGAAAAATGAAACAGGACCCATACTTCACATCATACACAAAAAATAACTTAAAATGGATCAAAGACCTAAATATAAAACTATAAAGATCATGGAGGAAAAAATAGGAACAATGCTAAGGGCCCTAATATGTGGCATAAATAGAACACAAAGCATAACTAAAAATGCACACACAGCAGAAGATGAACTAAATAAATGAGACCTCCTAAAAATTAAACATTCATGCTCAACAAAAGACTTCTGCAAAAGAGTCAAGAGAACCTACAGACTGGGAAAAAAGATTTTCACAAGACATATCCGAAAAGGGACTAATCTCTAAAATTTATACAAAACCTCAATACTACAACAACAACAAAAAGACAAACAACCCAATTAAAAAATGTGCAAAGGATATGAACAGACCCTTCACCGAAGAAGACATTCAGCCTGCTAACAAACACAAAGAGGTGTTCATGGTCATTAGCAATTGTTGTTGTTGTTGTTGTTAGGTGCTATCGAGTTGGCTCCCAACTCATAGGGACCTTATGTACAACAGAATGAAACACTGCCTGGTCCTGCACCATCCTCACAATCGTTATGCTTGAGCCCAGTGTTGCAGCCACTGTGTCAATCCATCTCATTGAGGATCTTCCTCTTTTTTGCTGAACCTCTACTTTACCAAGCATGATGTCCTCCTCCAGGGACTGATCCCTCCTGATAACATGTTCAAAGTATGTGAGACGTAGTCAGGCCATCCTTGCTTCTAAGGAGCATTCTGGTTGTACTTCTTCCAAGACACATTTGTTCATTCTTTTAGCAGTCCATGGTATATTCAGTACTCTTTGCCAGCACCACAATTCAAAGGCATCAATTCTTCTTAGGTCTTCCTTATTCATAGTCCAGTTTTCACATGCATATGAGGTGATTGAAAGCACCATGACTTTGGTCAGGTGCATCCTACTCTTCAAGGCAACATCTTTGCTTTTCAACACTTTAAAGAGGTCTTTTGCAGCAGATTTGCCCAATGCAATACATCTTTTGGTTTCTTGACTGCTGCTTCCATAAGTGTTGACTGTGGATCCAAGTAAAATGAAATCCTTGACAACTTCAGTCTTTTCATGATGTTGCCTATTGGTCCAGTTGTGAGAATTTTTGTTTTCTTTATGTTGAGGTATAATCCATACTGAAGGCTGTAGTCTTTGATCTTCATCAGTAAGTGCTTTAAGTCCTCTTCACTTTCAGCAAGCAAGGTCATCAGCATAATGCAGGTTGTTAATGAGTCTTACTCCAATCTTGATGCCCCGTTCTTCTTCATAGAGTCCAGCTTCTCGGATTATTTGCTCAGCATACAGATTGAATAGGTTTGGTGAAAGGATACAACCCTGACACACACCTTTCCTGCTTTGAATCACACAGTATCCCCTTTTCTGTTCGAATGACTGCCTCTTGATCAATGTACAGGTTCCTCATGAGCACAATTAAGTGTTCTGGAATTCCCATTCTTCGCAATGTTATCCATAATTTGTTATGATCCACACAGTCAAATGCCTTTGCATAGTCAATAAAATACAGGTAAACATCTTTCTGGTATTCTCTGCTTTCAGCCAGGATCCATCTGACATCAGCAATGATATCCCTCGTTCCATGTCCTCTTCTGAATCCAGCTTGAATTTCTGGCAGTTCCCTGTCAATATATTGCTGCAGCCACTTTTGAATGATCTTCAGCAAAATTTTACTTGTGTGTGATATTAATGATATTGTTTGATAATTTCCACATTTGGTTGGATCACCTTTCTTGGAAATAGGCATAAATATGGATCTCTTCTAGTCGGTTGGCCAGGTAACTGTCTTCCAAATTTCTTGGCATAGATGAGTGAGCACTTCCAGCGCTGCATCCATTTGTTGGAGTATCTCAATTGATATTCCGTCAATTCCTGGAGCCTTGTTTTTCACCAGTGCTTTCAGTGCAGCTTGGACTTCTTCCTTCAGTACCATCGGTTCCTGATCACATGCTACCTCCTGAAATTGTTGAACGTCAACCAGTTCTTTTTGGTATAGTGACCTTGTGTGTTCCTTCCATCTTCTTTTGATGCTTCCTGCATCATTTAATATTTCCCTGTAGAATCCTTCACTAATGCAAATCAAGGCTTGAATATTTTTTTCGGTTCTTTCAGCTTGGGAAATGCCGAGTGTGTTCTTCCCTTTTGGTTTTCTATCTCCAGGTCTTTGCACATACCATTGTAATACTTTACTTTGTCTTTTCCAGCTGCCCTTTGAAATCTCCTGTTCAACTCTTTTACTTCATCATTTCTCAGCGTTCAAGAGCAAGTTTCAGAGTCTCGTCTGACATCTATTTTGTTTGTTTCTTTCTTTCCTGTCTTTTTAATGACCTCTTGCTTTCTTCATGTATGATGTCCTTGATGTCATTCCACAACTCGTGTGGTCTTCGGTCATTAGTTTTCAATGCGTCAAATCTATTCTTGAGGTCTGTTCTGAAGTACAACGCTGTCAGCGATAGGATAATATCCATATACCTACAAGGAAGACCAGCTAATACGACTGTTATTCAAATTTACACACCAACCACTAAGGCCAAAGATGAAGAAATTGAAGATTTTTACCAACTTCTGCAGTCTGAAATTGATCAAACGTGCAATCGGGATGCATTGATAATCACTGGTGATTGAAATGTGAAAGTTGGAAACAAAGAAGAAGGATTGGTAGCTGGAAAATATTGCCTTGGTGATAGAAACAATGCCAGAGATTGCATGATAGAATTTTGCAAAAACAATGACTTCTTCATTGCAAATACCTTTTTTCACCAACATAAACAGTGACTGTAAATGTGGACCTCGCCAGATGGAATACACAGGAATCAAATTGACTACATCTGTAGAAAGAGACTATGGAAAAGCTCAATATCATCAATCAGAACAAGGCCAGTGGCCAACTGCAGAACAGACCATCAATTGCTCGTACACAATTTCAAGTTGAAGCTGAAGAAAATTAGAACAAGTCCACAAGAGCCAAAGTACGACCTTGAATATATCCCACCTGAATTAGCAATTAGAGAGATGCAAATCAAAACTACAATAAGATACCATCTCAGCCCAACATTACTGGTACTAATCAAAAAAAACCAAAAAATAACAAATGTTGGTAAGGTTGTGGGGAGATTGGAACTCTTATACATTGCTGGTGGAAATATAAAATGGTACAACCACTATGGAAAATGGTATGGCGCCTCCTCAAATGAGACTATTGGGCCCTTGCCCAATAAAAGGGGACCCCCAAAGACCTTCCAAAGCCCTAAAATGTCTCTTTATTAAGCTTAGAAATTGAGTTTGCTGTTCATTCCAGTTTCTCTTCTAGGGTAGGTGGGGGGCAAAAGAAGGGGTTGGATGAGGAAAGATAACATTACATCATGACTGTGTATGTGAACATGTGTCACTTTGAATTGGTATAACAAGTGACTCAACTTTGTTTCTCTTTCCATTTTAGGCCCTGGACTTCTTGTTGTTGATATTTGCAGCAGCAGTCGTTGCGTGGGCAGACCATGCAGCCCCTCTTCTCCTTGGCCTCAGTGCCAGCTGGTTGCCATGGCATCTTGGCTCAGCTGGGTCAGCACCCAGCTTCCTTGGCAGGAGTCCCATGCACAGGGTCATTCTGGAGGAGGTTCTCACTCTCCTTCCTAGTAGCATGCCTCTTCTGCTGCAGAAGGAGCCATGGAAGGAGCAGACTCAGAAGGTAAGGTGGGCAGCCCCCTGCTTTCAGGGCAGTCTCTGCTGTGGAACTGAAGTGGGTGTTAAGTGAAACTTGAACCACAGCTCAGGTTGTCATACTCAGCCCCAAATCTCAGCTAGAACTGGGCCTCAGAGATGGAGGCTGGCCCAGGCTCCAAGTAACTGCTAATTGAAAACAACAATGATGACAACAACCACTTGCCTACACTTGGGGGTGGGTGTAGAGAAAAGCTCATACCTGCCTTCGTTTATTGAAGGTGATATGGGTCTTGAGCCTGGGGATAAAAAGAGGAATAAGTCAGAGAGCTCAATATCTCAGAGTGGAAAGAGACAGGAAGACAAATTCAAGATTGGCAAGATGGTGTGATAAGTAGGATGCAGTGGTGATGAGCAAAGTAGGGGGATGATCAGCAATGCCTGGGGGTGGGCCAGGGAAGTCTTCCAAGCTGAACCAAGAGTCTGGAGCATCCATTTTCTCGAAGCTCATTCCATCCCACAGATATGTTCCAAGTGCCCATCACACCCCTAGCCTGTGCTAGACACCATGACAGGAGTCAAAAATTACATCCAGTATCATCACCCCTTCCTTCAGGAAAAGCCACAGTGTAGGTTTTTAATATTGAGGTTGCCCAGGTTCCTAGCTGTCATACATAATGAAATACAGTGGTTCCTGGATATCTCATTATGTGGCTCTGACCTGTCATTAATGCAGTTGATTGCAAGATTCTTTTCTGAATCTCTCTTAATAAAAGTTGGCTTTTTATGAGATTGAAACCCTTAAAATAACTTTTTGTGTCTTATCCCTAAAGTCTGGACATTAGTCTTTAAAACATTTCTGAACTATGGGCCCACGGTTTAGCCATGCACAACTCCACTGAGCATCTCAGTTAAAATGTCTTTGTTTTCTCACACCTGATAAGCATTAGTATTGCTGCCCCAAAATGTGTGTTTCATATTCCACTTTAAAGCAAAATAGTGCAAATGTGGTGTCCCCTAATGTTATTTCTGGACTGGGAAACCATGTTCACTTTGGACTAGAACGTAGACATCATGCATCATTTATGTATTTTTAGTGCTTGATTTATTTACTCATTACTAGGATATTGTACAGTTTTTTTGAGAAAAAGAAAATAAACCAGGAGAAAGTTAAAAATCAAAAAAAATTAAAGCAGGGAATTAAGGATATTTTCTTGTTTTTCCTGTTTTACACTTTCTTCACTCCAGTCTCTATATCCAAAGTTAAGATGCCTGGTACCTATGGCTAATGTATGTTTGGCAACATTCTGTCATCGATGAAATTACCGTGTCTAGTTCAAAAACAATTTTGACTGCACCCTGGGAGATTAGTCAGACTCATAAGTACCATGAGTTTCTATCTTATTTGCATGATTTAGTCACAGTTAACACACTTGACTCTACCTAGTAAATTGTTTTATGCCTTCTTTTCTTCTATTTCAGTTTTCTGTTTCATTCATTTGGACACAGACTGTTTTCATCTACAGACACATATTTGGTTTTAGAAACAGGGACTTACATGTGATGGTTCTCCCTATTTACTCCCCAGCCTAGGAGCCTAGGCCAAGATGCACACAGAACCAGGTGGGAGACGGCATGATGCAAAGGAAAGAGTGTGAGGCTTTGTAGCCAGGTGCACATGGGTTCCAGTCTTGGCTCTGCTATTCATTGGCAGTGGAGTTGGGCAAGGTCTTTAACCTCTCTGAGCCTCAGAGTGATGAGAGAGAGTGTTCATGGCTCACTGGAGGACCTCCAGGCCTGTCTACCTCTCTCTCAAAATGTTCACCAAGTTTTGGTAATACCTGAGTACCTGCTGACTACTAGGGGAAGTAGGTATGACTTTGCCAGATCCTTTGACCATATCTTGTTCCTGGTCCCTGTCTCAGCTCCACTCCCCTCACCCAGTCAGATATCAGATATTGCAGTGATACTTAGGTTTGCAGGCCCAAGGGACTGACTGATCTCTTCGCTGATACTGTTCTTCATTTTCACCCTAGTTCATTGACTGGCTATTCAACATCATGGAAGCCCCCAAAGAAGCCCTTTCAGCAAAATCCAGGAATCTGTTAAAAGGTACCACTTCGTGCTTTTTGCCAACCTAGGTGAAAGCCATCCACTTGTCTGTGCTGCAGGGCAGTATGCTGTTACGTATTAGTTCCTGAAACAGCCCGTCTTGGTTTAGCTGAGGCAAGTAATTTGGAGCTGTCACCAGTGTGGCATTTTGAACCAGAAAGGCAGATTAAAAAGAGTTCCATTGCCATTAAATTTAACTTTTATTTAAATGTTTTTAAAAAAAATTTTATTATAATTGTAAAATATGATTTCAACTAAAAGTTAGAAAATTCAGAAAACTAAAATGATGAAGCAAAGAGGAACCCAGAGTCCCATTGTTCAAGACAGTTGTGATGTTTTCCCTAAGAAGTATTTACCATCTCTGTGTATGAGTATTGTTTTAACATAGGTATAATCATATACAATTGAAAAACTACACGTAGACAATTTGAATGCTGTCTTTTTATTTTAACATTATTTCAAAAGCATTTTAACCTATGCTTACACTAGCTTCATAAGTACAATTTCTGATGACCGCATAGTATTTTGCCAAGGAAATCAGACATGTCTCATGCTTTCAGACATGTAGGTGATTTTCTGTGTCGTTTATCATTCTCTGTTGACTTTGACAAAATATGACTATAGGATCCACAAATATGGAGGATCTTTCTGTGAAAATCATATGGACTCTTTTATTCAAAACTAAGAAGTCATTTGAACATTGGCCATTTGGCCTGAAGGAGCTTGTACATGTCATCCGTGTCTTGGGACTTGGAGGTCTGGAGGATAACAGTGGCTGCTGCTGATGCCACTGACATGGCTATGAGATGCTGTACTGAAAAGTCTCACCTTAGGAAAATTACTAGTTGGCCTTTTCTTGTGATAATTTATCTGTCCAGCCTGGGAGTCATACCATGACTATATTTCATATGGTATACTGTGTTGGTTTTCAAACAAGCAAGAATTCCCTAATCTACTGGTTCTTATCCTTCTCCCAACCCCCAAAGTGGGTGGAGGGCATGTGTGTCAGGTGATTCTGATAACCATAGAACACGTACTTTCACTTGATCCTTCCCTAGAGGCTCACTGTTAGGATTTGCTATGTTCATTTTCCTCAGGGAGTTTGGACTCATTTTTAATGGCATGGGTCAACAATACCATTGATTGCTCCAAATGTGTACTGTCTCAACTGATGCTGATGAGGAAAATAGTCACTTGAGTCAAGAAAGTGCATGTTCACTTGATTATACAGCCAACGGTTTTGTTAGTATCAGACATTTAATTATTGTGTAACTGGCTTAGCTACATTCTCTCACGCTATTATATTTTAAATAACACTTCAATATATTTATATTAATATTTAGAATAAGACATATAATAAGTTACTTAAGGGATGACAGGACCTTCCTACTTTAAATTGATCCCGGAGGGACCCATAACAGATAAGAAAAGGTGAGTACTTGTGGATAAATATTCAAATAAAATTTAGTACGGTCATGCTTACTCCATTGAGCACATGAACCTAACTTCATTACAGGGTCAGTTTTTTGTTGTTGTTGTTATTTTGTTTTGCCTTTTAATTAAACATTTAATGGAAATATTATATGTAGAAAAGTGCACAAATCATAAGTGGATTTTTACAAAGTGAAATCGGGAAATCAGCACCCAGATCAAGAAACAGAACCTTGCCAGCATCCCAGAAGCCAGTCTTTTAATTCTGCAGAATTTCCTGTTAACTGCTTGCACCGTAACTTTGACAAACTTTCCCCTCAACCTTTATATGCCATTTTCTGCCATTAAAATTCTGCCAAAGTCTTGATGGGACTTCTTAAATCTTTAAGATGAGCCAAGGGAGAAAAAGCCAAGTTCTATTCTGACACCTTTTCAATCAAACTGACCTTTTCAAATGCAATGCCACCAAATGCAACCATGTGCTTTATTCTTTGTTCCCTTAGCCACCCTCCTGTCCTTGAGAGTTCTCCCAGAGTTTAAGAAGAAAGCTGTATGGACCAGAGCATATGGTTGGTGATCGGTTTTACAGTAGCCAGCAGCATTCTCAGTTGGATGAAGAAAACCACAGAGATGGAAGGAGTTTTTCAGAATTCATGTGTAGGATCGCTGAGACATGACACAGAGAGTTATGGGTCATGAAAGGGTGGCCGCATAACTGACAGCTTGATCTGTGCTGTCAGGAGAGGGGTGCATTGCTTCAGTACCCAGGCCAGTTGAGACTGAAACAGGAACTTGAATGTTTTTATTTGGCTACAGTTCAATCAGAAGATTTTCTTTGGGAAAACTTGACAGTATATAACTTCCTCCCTCCTAAATTCTAGTAAAATAATCTTGTGAATTTTGTGTATGTGACTTTTATTTGCTTGAAGGCATGAGAAGGTTTTGCCAGCAAAACCAAACTGTGGTGGTGACAATGGCATCATGATCTATTTCCCATGAGTCTCCAGAGTGTATTCATTAACTCAGTGAGTTAGATAAGTTTTATTCTTATTGATAAAATACTATCTTGTAACCGCGATACACATTTAAATAAAAAGTATGACACTGAACATTAGTTAAAGCAGATTCATTAGTTGTGGCAATAATTTCTTTATGGTTTAGTTCTCTTGAATGCAACTGAAAGTTACCCAATTCAGGGTAGCTTCAGCCAAAAAGGAGAATATTAGTTCACAAATGAGAAGTTAAAGGGTAGTTCTATCTGGTCAGGCACAGCTGCTTCCAGTGAATCAACGATGTCATCAGGCTTTGTTTCTCTTAGGATCATACCACAGAGTTGGCAAGATGGCTGCCGGGAACCTCAAAATCACATGCTTCCCAGGGGGAAAAAAGTGTTTGCCCATAGGTATGGCAGAAATAACATGAGAGATCTCTGGTTCAGCTTAGGCTGCATGTGAGTATCTGAACAAGTATCCAGGCCCTGGGAGGTAGGGGTACTCAAATTGGCCAGACCTGGGTCTAAGTCCCTGGGTACAGGGGGGCTGAGGCAGCCCCACCCAAACCATATGAACTGGGTTCCCCCAGAGAAGAAAGAGGATGCAGTGCTGGGTAGGTAAAAATGACAAATATGTAAAGATCAATCTTGTTTAGAAGTACAAGCCTCTGTCTTAATCAGGGTGACTGATGGCCTGATGACAAGCAAATGAAGGTATGTGACAATACTCTCAAGTATTGCATTTTACTCAAGGGCTTGAGACTCAGCCAGCATTTTCATTTTGATCTGTTTGCTAATTATCATAACTTCATGCAGCCATTAATCAGGGCTCTATCTTTAGCCAATCATATAAACATACTGATGTATACATATCTGGAATCAATGGAAAGAAAAATAGTTCCACTGAAATAATGTGCCTTTGCATCTGTCACACCATAGCACAGTGCTTGGTTCTTTACAATCACCGTAGAACATGTAGGATTCTCTAGTGTGGCATGTTGTCACCAAGTGTACCTACCACTTAAGTTAAAAATTACTCTTCTAATTTTGCTTTCCAGATACCTGGATTTATGATTCTAGATTTCAAATACTTTTGCTTCACGGTGTAACCCAGTTAAGTACTCTTTGTTCCCAGGTCATCGTTCCTTGTTTTGCTGAACTCCATAGGGTGCTGAGATGCTTACAGAAAAAGGGGAAGGGAAAGCAAACCCTCAGGTCATACTTACCTGCATTGCAGTAGTTCATATATGTATTACTTTCTTGAAAGATAGGCCATAGGCGAAGGAATTTGACGGAAGCAGGAAAGTAGAGAATTTGCACCCCTTCCCACCCCATTACACTTTCTACCAATTAGAGGTAACATGTTTGTTAGGTGCCAGAATGCACAAGAGCTTTCACTGGTATTATTTAACTCTTACAACACTACTGAAGAGGAGGTATTATCTTCCATTTTAAAACAGAGAAGACACATCGTAAGTGGCAGAACTAGGCCTAGGACCAAGGAACTAGAACCCCATATCCAATGCTCTTTCTTCTGCATCAAAGGCATCAGCTCCCACTTTAAGATGGAAACGCCTACCAAGGATTAAACCTCATTTGTGCTTAATGTAGACTGCTTTAATCAGGCAAAGAAATCAACCCTGCCTCATAATAATACACCTCTGGAATTGGGGTGTTGAGAAGTTTTAGCATAAAAGAAGGTCTGCATGGGTTGAAGGACTTTGAATTCCCAGGCCCACCTTGCAAGCATGGATGGCAATAAAGACTGAAGAGGAAGCGGGCACTGGAGAAGAACTACTCTGCAGATTTTCCCTTTGAATCAGCAGGCTGAGATTGCTAATGCTGAAGTAAAGGATGAAGAATCAGCCCCAGCTTCTAAATCCAGACTGCCCTTTTCAGTTCACTCCATTTCTTCCCATTCAAGCCTTTTCCCAGCTCTTGCCCTTGACAAGAAAAGAGTACTAAAAGGAGGAAATAAGATACATCTGTACCCTTTCTTCCCTAGTGCCTTCTTTTTGTTTTCAGCAAGCTTGAGTATAACATTCATAGGATTTTCCTATTCATGAGAACCTCTAAAGATGCTAAAATATAAGATTCTAAATTCTAAAATCTAAAGGTTCTAAAATCTTAAGGTCCTACGACAGAGGCCTGTGGAATGATAGGATACTTTCTCTTGGTTATCTGTATGACCCCAGGTAAGAATGATGTTACTCCCCCAGGATATTTCAGTTTGTTCTTCTAAAACCAGAAGTCTTTTTTTTCAGACCAGATGTTCCAAACTATATACAAAAGGAAAAGTTCCCCTACAAGTCTTCTGTTAGTGTTTGAAAACACAAGTTGCCAAGACAAATAGCATGCTGGGCTATACTAACAAATTAATGCATGCGGTTTAGGTCCTGTTATGTCTTTTAGAAGTATCCAAACACTTCTACTCTTGACTTGAAAGGTGTACATTTGAAGATGTTAGGATCCATGCAAGTGCCTAAAATCTCCTTTTTGCTTTATTTGTAATACAATGGCTCGATGGTAACTAATAGACTGTTAATAACCTTTCTTTGAAGTTAATTGCCAGAAATAACTTCTCCAAAACAATTTGAACCAAAGATAATTATATAAGGAATCAGACTTTTTCAGGGACTCAATTACTATCTTGAAGTAACGTAGTCACTTTGAGAGTAAGCAGCAGTTTTAGATTTTTGGTAAACATTTTAGTTAATTGCTGTTTTAGAAAAAAATCAGATCCTTTGGTTAAGAGGATGGGTCTTTCATTAAAGCCAGAGTTTCTGTTTTGTCAACTTGTATCTCTGAGCCAACCAGCCTATTCATAGCTGTGGGTATTTCAAATGTAAGCAGGGGACAGAATGTGGCTGAACATTCACATCCTTCAACACTTTGTGGAAAGATACTTCACAGCATCATCTGCAGATATGAATGTATATCATCATTGGTATGGTCCTGGAGGAGGTAATGTGCTTTTATATTTTCTGGAGGGAATTACTTTATTCTAACCCTGGAAACTCAAAAGTCTCATCTTTCTTAATAAATGATGCATACAATATTTATGAAGTTGTGAGTATGCATGTGTCTTAGGCTGGGGCTTCCAGAGAAGCAAAACCAATGAAGCGTATATATACATATATATATAGAGAGAGAGAGAGAGAGATTTATCTCAAGGAAATAGCTCACGTGGTTGTAGAGGCTGGCAAGTCCCAAGTCTTGGGTCAGGTGTCAGGCTGGAGGCTTCTCCTGACTTACGTAGCTGCAGGGGCTGATAAACCCAAGATCAGCAGACCAGACAGCAGGCCACTGGCTCAAGACCCAAGAACGAGAGGTCAGAGAACGATGAGCTGAATGCAGGATCCAGAGCAAGCAAATGCCAGTGAGCTTTGCCAGAACATCCATATATATTGGATGCAGGCCACACCCCCTAAGGAAACGCCCCTTACAACTGATTGGCTGATCACATTATTATCACATCACGGAGGTGATTACATTATATCACAAAATGGAGGATAACCACATCATTACATAACTGCCAAATTACATCATTACGTGACTGCCAAACCACTAAGAATCATGGCCCAGCCAAGTTGATACACAACCTTAACCATCACAGAATGTGATCTGTTGTTGTTGTTGTTAGGTGCCGTCCAGTCAGTTCCGACTCATAGCAACCCTATGCACCACGGAACAAAATACTGCCTGGTCCTGCGCCATGCTCACAATCGTCGTTATGCTTGAGCCCATTGTTGCCACTGTGTCGATCCATCTTGCTGAGGGTCTTCCTCTTTTTTGCTGACCCTGTACTTTACCAAACATGATGCCCTTCTCCAGGAACTGGTCCCTCCTGACAACATGTCCAAAGTATGTAAGACGTAGTCTCGCCATCCTTGCTTCTAAGGAGCATTCTGGTTGTACTTTTTCCAAGACATGTAATCTGTTAATCTTCATAAATAGTACAGTTTGTTTTTTTTTTAACTCACCTTAGGAAGCTCATCTGATTCTTGCCAAACATAGGGAACTTCTGAAATAATTTTCAGCTAAATTATTAAATATAAAATTGAATACAATTGACAATGATATCTCCCTGAGCTATGCTTGTATTTTTTAAATTAAAAAAAGAAAAGAAAAAACCTACCTCACAAGGTAGTTGTGAGGATTAAAAGAGAGAATACAAAAATGTGCTTTATAAATTCTAAAATGTTACAGAAATGCTATCACTTTTATGTTTCACTGAAAAAAAACAGTACCTATAGTCCTTGAACACAAGCCTGACAACATGTACATGGGGACCTGGGAAGGTAATACCAAACCAGAAACCAAACCCTGTTGCTATCGAGTGGATTCTGACTCATAGCGACCCTACAGGACGGAGTACAACTGCCCCATAGGGTTTCAAGGATTGGCTGGTGGATCCGAACTACCGACCTTTTGGTTAGCAGCCGAGCTCTTCACCACTGCGCCGCCAGTGCTAGTTTCTTAATTAAGAAACTGTTCTCCTTAACAATAAAAACATCCCAGCACATTAAGATATTTCAGGTTTTTAAAAAACTGTCTTCTGAACATGAGGTACCCTTTGAAATTAGTCTGATATAATTAAAACTTAACATTTAGTTAATCTGATAGGTTGCTTAAAATATATATATTTTTTTACATGTAGTTGTAATAAGTCATAAAGTCAAGAGTTGCTATTCATTCCTTGCAAACAGTTTTGTGTCTACTGCGTGCCACGATACAAGGTTCTGGAGTAAAAAGTGAACAAGACCTGATGGTATCCCTGCCCACCTGGAGCTTATATTCAGAGAATTTAAATCAGTAAACCATCATCTAATAAAGGAAAGTATCCAGGCAGCATGTTATAAATGCCCTACTTCTGTATACCACAACCACCAAACCAAACCCGTTGCCGTCTAGTCAGTTCCAACTCATGGCGACCCTATAACCCTTTCTAATGTACAAAGGTATACTTCCGCATACCTCATTTGCTCTTCGAAACAAACTTGGGCAGCTAAGGAAATTGGAACTTGAAGAGTCAGTCACTTAGTAAAATACTGGAGCTCGATCTCTAATTACATCTAGGGCTCTATCTCTATACCACATTCTCTTTCAAAAGACCCCATTTTTATACTTTAGCACAATAAGATGTAAATGTGTTTCTCTACAAGTAAGCTTAAATATATATAAGGTTCTCTGGAGAAACATTTTAGAAATTAATGTTTGTGTATCTACTTCAATTTCTAAAAGAAATATGGTTCTTATGTGTGATAATGTACTCAAGGATAATCAGAATAAGGTATGGTTAAAAAAAAACCGTTAACTTCTGTTAGGGACTTCATTGTGACATGTTTCATTCTTTAGTAATAAACTTGTTTGAAGGAGGCCTGGGTAAAGGTTTTATAGTGGTACAAGGTGCCTGGCACACTGTAGGCACAGTTAAGTGTTTTTTGAATGAAGGTAGGCATGCATATGACGCCGACTAGGGATCAACCTACTCGCCTAAGGTTGACCTGTTTGTTGAGCAAAACATAAGCCCAGGATAAGAGGGTTTCTTGAAAAATATACTGGAGTAACATAAAACTCATCTAAACTGAATGGACATGTTTGGAGGAAATGTTATTGCTTTCATTCAACTACTTTGATAAAGAAAAAGCCCAGGGTTCTGATGATATTACTTGTATAATTTAGTAGACTTTTACTGAGTGATAAATTCTCTAAAGCAGTTTTGATGCAATGCAGTTTGACCCCGCTCCCCCCGTCCCACTTTTTTTTTCTCAGTACCAGAGGCACTAGGGATATTGATTACTCTTCCTTAGCTTGGGTTACTTGGAACTTGGGACAAAGCAACTTGGCATTTAAAATTCCAAAAAAAAAACAAAGATCATTAAAAAAGTTATGTCTTATGCTTTCAAAATATCTAACAGTTCCTATTTCATCTACATTACTTAGATTTTGAGAAACATAGCCTTTGAATACACAGTACAAAATAAAATGGAGATTTGATGGACATACAGTTAAAACAGTCAAAAAAATCAACTTTAGAATCTGAGTAACATCCTATGAACTGGATATTTACTGTCTCAACTTCACTAAACCCAGATCTCTTAACCTGAGGAACATGAACTTAAATGGGGAAAAAATTATATTTTTTCACTAGCTTCTAATGAAATTTAGTATTTCTTTCAATTATAAATGTAGACAACCAACCACAGTATTTTAATTATCTGTGACTTTGTCAATAATAAATTTTTATATTCCAAACCAAACCCATTGCCGTCAAGTCGATTCCAATTCATAGCGAGTAGAACGGCCCCATAGGGTTTCCAAGGCTGTAATCTTTACGGAAGTAGACTGCCACATCATTCTTCCACAGAGTGGCTGGTGGGTTCGAACCACCAATCTTTCAGTTAGCAGCCAAGTGCTTAACCACTGTGCCACCAGAGATCCTTATTTTTTATAGTATATTACAGCTATTAGATATATCTCAAATTATTGCCAACCCTCATCATTACTTCAAAATTATAGTAATTATAAATTCATCTGTGTTTCTTTTTGATCTTTTATTTTAAAAAGTAAGAAAGTTCTTAAGGTAATCTAGTCTAAAAATTAAAGTATTATAATGAAAATTTTAATTTCTTATAATTACCCAGTAACGCATAGTTTCTCTAGTTCCGTCTCTTCATTTTAGTAATTCTAGATGTATAATTTATCAAAGTATGTAGCCGTCTTTATTGGCAGGAAGATAGACTAAATTATCCGAAGTTTGCAAAGGCATTCTATTCTCTTTGCACACTAAAGCTTTTAGTAATTTTTAAAAATTATTTAGAAGTAGAATAAGCAGCTTTAAAAAGCAAAATAAAATGTAGCTTTTTAAAAGGATAATTTTACTTACTTTATTTTAAAATTCCAGATATGACCTTGAGTTTATAGATATCAAGTATCTTTATTAGTACTCAACTATTTCTTTTCAAATGTTTTATTTAGTGGAAATAAGATTGCCAAATTTTTTTAAATTACATTTTATTACCTGGTTCTTATGTGGCAATATACTTAATACTCTTTTAATATAGTTCTGGATAATAAAATCTCTAATATTTCTTTCAAGAAAAATGATATATTGATGATACACAAATGATTCTATTAGTCAATTATTCACATTTTCTTTTAGATCTTCAAGGAAAGAAGCATTTTTCAAAACAATAAGTGATGACTTTGGGTAGTAATTAGGAATAAGAATTCATTAATAATTGATCTGAAATATCACTAGTTACTAATTTTCTTGTCTATTGTAAATGATTTACTATAATTTTGTAGCTTTTGTCTCCCTATAAAGGATGTCTGTATCCTGGTTTGAAAAAGAAAGAAAGAATTTAAGGGGCATTATTTGTGTATTTCCCAAAAGTTTAATCTATTTTCATCAAGATCCTGTTTTAATGTATCAAACTCAAATAATTTATGTGATATTAATGAATACTCTTTCAGAGTTTAGAAAAATAATTAATTTCCTAATTGTGACTAATGCTTAAGGTGAGTATTGAATTATTAGCTCTGTGGACAATGATATCTATCTATAAAACATGTTATACTGCACAACTGCGGGGTATGTTTTACATCCCTCCCCTCCAACAGATCTTCTGCAATCTGGGAACTCCATTCCTGAAAAGAAATAGATGTAAATAGATTTTAGTTAGGTTATCAACTTTGGTTTCCCAATTTAACTATATCTACACCAGTTGCTCTCCTATTTCTTATTAACCTTACAGGAAAATAATAGGCTTCACACAATATAAATTAATTTGTATAAAATCCACAGCTTTGGTGAAGCACATTGTGCAAAGTTTATGTTTTCAAAATACAATATGTGAGAAACACATACAGTGGTGTGTCTAGAGTCTTTGAGGGATATGCGATTATCTCATGTCACGGTTGTCAAATACTAGGTATTTTCCCGCTGGAATGCTTCCTCTGTTGTATTTAGTGAAGCTAAATCCTCAAGCTTGTCCTTTCTTATGTCACACTGGAATGCTGGACTTCACATTTTCTTCTTCTGGATAGGAAAGACTCTGAGGACATCTCTTCTTTCTGAGTACAGATGACTGTAGGTAAAATACATACCTAACATGGAGAAGTAAGTGATAAAAGTAAGTAAGGTTGATTAGCCATTTCCCTAGAAAGATTCAAAGTTTTAAAATATAGTCAGAGTGCTGCCTGGATTCCAGGGACAAGACACCGAGGGAGACTCCCAGCTAGAACGCTGAACATGTCTTCACTGAAGACTCTTCAGATTTTCTGCAGAGAGGGAAGTAAAGCAAACTCTTCTACCTTTTTTTTTTTTTTTTTTAATGTAATGTAAGGAACTTTCTTTGGGGTAGCTCTCTCCACCACTTCTAAAGTTTCATTTTTATCTTCTTTCTATACATGTTGTTCTGGTATGTTTGGTATCTATTAGCTCTTAGAGATAAACGTCTTCTTGGAGATTTCTGAGAGAGCTGGGGAACTATAATAATGGAAGTCTTCCTAATTTTCTGGTAAAAAAATTAAATTAATTGACTAAATTTTCTCAATTGTAAGTTTTTGTTCCATGAATTTTTTCTTGAGCCTTTAGCACGTACTTCCATTTGCTTGCTAAGTAAGTCCAAGTGGACTAGAAACAAAATAGATGTAAGTGAAAAGACCAGAAATTCCCAAGCATACTTAGTTTGATATCTAGGTTTTGTTTGTAGATAGATACCTGTGTCCATGGTTATTTCTATATTTCATACATCATGCAGTTACATCTTCTGCTAGTAAAATTGATCTCCTGATGCACTACAAAAAGCATTATATTTTCCAGGTGCTTTACTAACAAAATCTAGTTGATAGTATCAGGTTTCTTCTTTGGTCTCTCACATGTTCACAGACCTATCCATTAAGGTAGACGGCAGCACAAACCAAAGAGCACCAGAAGGAAGCAAAAACAAATCAAAACAGACCAAAAAAAAAAAAAAAAAAATCACTTACCTATAAATAGCATCATGAGATATATTTTCAGCACATATGGGAAATAGATGGATAAATCAAAGGGCAGCTTGGTGGAGTAAGTACCAGATGATTCAAAATAAGGCAGCGACTGATAGATGGCAAACGCTGTATTTAAAAAAAAAAAAAAGTCTTCTCCATAACTTGTTACGAGATACCTGCCTGAGTCTCCGTAGCTGAAGGATATTTTGAGTTTGGTAATGACAGTTTTGCGGCAAATGCTGAATCCTTTAGCTAAAGCTACAGTTTGATATGGAAATCTGCTGAATGACTAAATTAGCAAGGCTGTTATAGCAATGTGGCTTGCTGAATATTTGTCCGTCTTGTACTTTATTATGCCTACATAGAAATAGCATACAGTTTCTTAAAATGGTATCTCAAAAAACACCTGTCCCCTTAGCTACAAATAGGGGTAATGGACAAATGAATTTGGAAAATGCTGCACATAGTATTTTCTTCTTGGAGTTTCATAACACACATCAGCATAGCAGAGATTCTGAGAAGTTCTGCAGCAAAGAAACCCAGCAGTTCCTCCGTTTAACTGACCTTGGAATTTCTACTTCCTCCCCACTCCAGTAGTACTTAGAAATTCTAATGAACACTGGGAGAAATGCCAGCCTTAATTATTTTGAGGGAGGAAGCTTGTGTCAGAGAAAAAGAGATGGAGGTTCTATGGAAGTTTATCTCATGTATAGATTTGTGATAACACTTCATGAAATGATAACAGACTAAGGTTATATAAGACGTTGCCATTAGAATAAGCTGGGCAAAGGAATACTACACTATTTTTGCAACTTCCTGTGAGTCTAAAATTATTTCAAAATTAAAAGTTTCAAAAAAAAGAGAGATGGAGGAAAAATCCACAGTGAGCCTCCTGACTATCGCTCATTACCTCCTGTCTGCCCCCAGGTGTCCACAGGTGTTGGAGTCAGACAGTGCAGAGGTACAAGCAGTATCAGTGCAAGATTCACCAGGGACACCAAGGCATGCCATCTATGAGTTCCATTGGCTGTACCTAAGTCTCTAGCATTTCATCAGTACAATTAGTGGATTTTTTTATATGAACTTGGTTTTTGTCTTATATTTATCAGATGGGAAATTATAGTTATTGAAAGAAATTACAGTTATCAAAAGTTGAGTAAGTTTTCCTAACTGCATGTTTTTATACTTAGGAAGATTTGAGAGATATATATATATTTCTAAACCAACTGCCACTGAGTCAGTTCCAACTCATGTTCACACCATGTGTTTCAGAGTAGAACTGTGCTCCTTAGGGTTTTATAAGTGGATCACTAGGCCTTTCTTCCGAGGCACCTTTGGATGGATTCAAACCACCAGCCTTTTGGTTAGTAGTTGAGTGCTTAACCATTTGTGTATAAAGATAAAAGTATAGTCACCCATCTTGCACCACCCAGAATTAATCATTATTGACATTTTATCATATATACTTCCAGAATTTTTTCTGCATATATCTTACTTTTTAATGGCATGAATAAGTTTATGAATCTAAATTTAATAAAAGAATATGGGTTGTATGTCAAACATATAGGAACATGGCTTTTCTAGAAAAGAGAGGCTTGAAATTATGGAATAACAAGAAAAGAAAAGTTCCCTATCCATTTATTTATTCATCCCTCATTTTTAGGAAGGGATTAGTCATCTTTCTACCTCATTCCTTTATATATTCCTTATAATATTTTTCATAGGATATAACAAAGGAATGTACTTAATAAATGTTTCAGTGAGTGAGGGATTTCATTCTCAAATAACTAGGCCATTAGTTTTTTATGGATTTCAAGATTTTTCTCTAGAATCTCTTGGTATAGTCTATTCTAAAATTTAATAATCCTTCCTTTTGAAAATAACATAAAAATTCTATCTAATATGATTTACAATAATTTAAGCTCCTTTTGTCTAGTCTTCAGTAGACAGGAAACGGGGTTATAATTTATATACTGGCCTTCACATGCTTTACGATTATTGCCAACATCACCAATCATGTTATGTTAAATCTTGTTCCTTATGTTTTTCCTTAGCTACCTTAACATAACTTTCTTAATTTCTTCATGCCTTCAGTTTCAAAAACTTTAATCATGTCTATTTCAGAAACCTCTCTACCAGCCTGCCAAATCCATTACAGAAGGGAGGAAGTATTTCCCAAATATCCTCAAGCTCTTTGCAATTATCTGATTTTTAAGATTTAGGTTGAAACTTAGGCTAAAGAATTAGTCTGCTTCATATTTTATTCAATAATTCATTCAATGTTTATGGAGCATGCATACTAGGTGCATGAGAGAAAGCAAGGAAGCAAAGAAACAAAGACAACCTCATAACTTCATGGAGCATAAAGGCCGGTCAGGAAAATGGACATTATTCAAAGAATCATACAAATGTCAAATTAGAACTGAGATAGGTCCTGTAAAAGAGAGATTCACGATGCCATACTAGGGGGAATTGACTTAGCTGAGGAAGTCAGTGATTGCTTCCCTGAGAAAGTAATGACTGATGTAAAGTTAGAGAGTAGGATGCACAGTAGATGCTAAGTGGGAAGAGTATTTGAGCAGAGAGAACGGAATTCCTCTGCATTAAAGTAAAAACCATAGAATCAATAAATGTTAAATCCCCTTTCGGTGAGTACACAGACTCAGAGAGGTTAAATGATTTACCCAAAACCCAAAATTGAGTTAATGGAGTTAAGGACCAGGACTCAGAGGTCCTCATTCCTTGTCCAGTATTTTGTCTGTTGTACAGGGCTGCTTCCCCCTCTAACTTTGCGGCTTGATGCTTTGCGTCTTTGCCTCAAGGGAAATATGCCAGGAAAGATACATTGAGTGAGATAAACAATAGCAAAAATAGAAATTTAATCATCAAAAAAATCTAGTGAACCATTATAACTAGATTGCATTTGTCAGTAAGCAGTAAAGCAAGTTACTCTTTTCCTACCTTCAGCGAGAACACACAGAGGATAAATCGGCATCCATAGTGTTTGGCTGAGCCACGTCAAGTTAGCATAGGAGATTCCTATGACTGATAACATGCTATAGGTGTACCTGAAAGGAGACAAGGCGCTCATAAACATCATTTGCTGCTGATTTCTGGGAAATAACAGGGAAAGAAAATACTTTTCTATAATTAAATACATGAATAAAACTGAAAAGTGTGTAGATCACATACTTTATTTCCTGTAATTTAAGCAGGAAAAGAGGTGAAAAATGGAGGGACAATGTGAGTCTAACATGTCTTATGGAATGGATCATGGATAATCATGGAGGTGAACAAAACCAGAATGTACCGTATCCCCAGGAAATTATGGTCACAAGTTTTCTTGATTAGTGACTTCAGTTTCATTGAGAAGTCAATCCCATTTCATACAGCAAGCAGCTAGTTTTTTAAGATTGGCATACTTGTAAATACCTAGGGAATGAATTTCACAAACAAAACTGTGATGTTCAAACCCTTATTTGGCATCCCTCTGCTTATGTAATTGTCCATCTCATGTGATCAATTAAAGAACTAGCCTCGGGAGCTGGTTTCCCGACACAGTGGGCAGTTTTAAACATACCTTCATGATTTAGTAATAGATGAAATAGTCTACATCTTTTTATTTCTTTGAATAGGCTAGGGATTCTCAAGCTTGATCATACATCAGAATCATCTAGGGGATTGGGAAAGCACAAATTGCTGGTCCCCATCCATACAGTTTCTGATTCAGTGGGTCTCAGGTAGAGTCTGAGAATTTGCATTTGTAACAAGTTCCAGGTGATGATGATGCTATTGATCCAGCGAACACACTTTGAGAACCACTGGAATAGGCAACACAAAAACAATCAAAAAAAGACCTTGAAAACATGAATGGAGAAAAGTAAATCTTCCTCTCACTCCAGGACCCTAATTCCACTCCTCAAAGACAATGAGCTATACCTGTTTATTACGTAGTATTTCAGAAATACTTATGCATATCTATATGTATAGATTATATATATGCACACAGTCCCCTTTTTCACATAAACATAGCATACTATCCATGCTGTCTTACACCTTGTTTTTTGTTTGTTTAATAATCTTAGAAGATTATTCCACAGTGATACATACATTTGCCTCATACTATGTAGCCGCTAAAAAGGACTCCTCTACATGGAAATATGTCATAATTCATTTGAATGGGACTCCACTGCTGAACATTATTTCCAATCTTTTGCTATTACAAGCAGTTCTAAGTGGATATCCTTGAACATATTTCTTTGTGCACATGTATAATTATGTATTTCTATCTGTAAAATAAATTCCTAGGGTAGTATTGATTGATCAAAGGGAATGTCCATCTAAAGTTTTGATAAATATTTCAGGATTTTCCTTCAGAATATTTTGCTCCACCTTGCACTCCTACCAACAGTTCAAGCCCTCACCCACGTGGCATGTTATCAGACTTTCTGATCTTTACCCATCTAAGATGAAGTACCTAAAGACAGAAGATTGGCATGACATTTATGCTTCTACAAAGGGAATCATAAAGCTTCCCCCTCAGAAATTCTGTCTTTATGGAGCAAAACAGATGATGATTCTTCAGTGGCCTTAGGAAATGTTTCTCAGATTGAGAGCCCTCAAAAAACAGCATGTAAATGAAGGTAGTCAGACAGGACTCTACAACAGGCAGCATAAAGAGGGTGCCCCCTTCTGAAATCCACCATGATAATAACAGGGAGACATCATTTACAAAGGGGGTGGAGATATCCCAAGATGAAATCTTTAGGAAATATCAAGTTATATATCAAGGCTTAAAGTACCTGGAATCCTGTGAAACTACTTTCTGTTCATGGTTCCTGCTTGTACCCTCTTTTTCTGAAAACTGAAAAAGGGACTCTCATATTAGATAATGGTGGGGATTACCATGATCATGTTTGTATATAGAGAATTGTAAAACCAGGAAATATGAATGTGTGGAGATTGAGGACAAAAAAAAAGTTCAGTAATCATGGGAAACTAGAAAGCAAACACAGGCTGCTGAGCTACTAGGGGTGGCCAGAAGCAAAAAACAAAACAAAACAAAACAAAAAAACGCTAGTCAGAAGTTTTGGGCTATAAACCCAGGAAGAAAGGGAAGAGTTTGGGGATGAGGAGAAGGGTGTCATTAAGTTCGCTTTCAGATGTTAGAACACTTTTCACTTAGGATACTGAACTTGATGGAGGATTCAGTTAGGAAGATAATAATATTCACTCAAGGATTAAGGGCAAAAATGTGCACTGGCTGTCCTGGAAGAAAAACACAATTTCTGAAGTACAATACATCTGACAGGATTAATCAGCACTTATTATTATTAAGTGTAATTAAGTGCTGATTAATTCTGTACATACGTATTCCACATCAGGGCTTAAAAGTTCTTTTCCTACATTATCTCATTTCTTTTACTACATTATCTCATTTAGTCCTTTTTAAAAAAAACATTCTAGGGTAGGTTGGGAAGATAATCCTACCCCTATTTTACAGAGGAAGAAAATTGAGTTTCAAAAGGTTAGCTGTCCAGCAAGTCCACTCCTAAGTATATACCCAAGAAAACTGAAAACATATGTCCATACAGAAGCTTACACACAGATGTTCATAGCAGCATTGTCCATAATAGCCAAAAAGTAGAAACAACCCTAATTTCCATCAATGGATGAATGGATAAACAAAATATGGTATATCCACACAATAGAATATCATTCAACCATAAAAACGAATGAAGTACAGATACATGCTATAACATGGATGGACCTTGAAAACATTTAAGTGAAAGAAGACACAAAAGGCCATGTTTATGATTTATGTGAAATGTAAACATCCAGAATAGGCAAATTCATAGAGTCAGAAAGTAGATTAGTGGTTGTCATGGGCTGGGGGAGGCAGGAATGGAGGATGACTGCTAATGAGTATAAAGTTTCTTCTGGAGATGATGAAACTTTTCTAAAATTAGACAGTGGAGATGGTTGCACAACTCTGTGAACATACTAGAAATGATGAATTACATACTTTAAAAAAATGAATTTTATGGCAGATGAATTATATTTCTATAAATCTGTTCTATAAAAAAATGGTTAGGAGATTTTGCCAAGGTCATATAGCAAGTAAGTAGTGGAGATAGGATTCATCCTAAGGTCTTCTACCTCCACATTCAAATGTCTTTCCATGACACTGTGCTACCACTCTCAATTTGCAAATAGTACCATAAAGTAGTATTGTTCTCCAGTGAGTCTCTTAAGCTTATATGAGACTGAATAGACACTGAGTGAGGCATTCCCAAGAACAGTAACTCAGAAAGCCCCAATCCCAAGAATAGGGGCCAGTGTCATGAACAGGAAATCATGGGCTACAAAAGTCCATGAAGTTTGCCCCAAGTCTACAAAGCTATCAATTAAAGGTGAAAAGTAACTAAGTTATATAAACAAAGAATTATAGTCACTTTAATTCAAGAAAATATTCTAATTCACTCTAGGGCTCAACCCATTATTTAGACATATTTTAATCCAGCTAAGTGACTGGCAATGTAATAAATACAGAATTTACATAACCTCAGCTAAAGCTCTAGGGCTCTTTTGTTACCTATATACATCCACATCTTCCAAGTGGGAGGGCAAGTTCTCATTTGTGAAAACTAAAAAGTGAGCCACTGAGCAAAGGGGACTGTTTTACAAAACGGATGGTCTCCTGAAAAAGTTTTAGAGCTAGAAGGAAAACTGAAGACTATCAAGGGCAAGAGTTCTTCACCTGAGGTCCAGGAGTTCCCAGGGGGTCCATGAAGGACTGCAGTTAGTCATTTGAACCCACTGGAATTATATACAAAATTATTTGTAGAAGTGCATTTTTTTGAGAGCCCCTACATTTACATTTAAAGAATTTTTGAATTCGCAGAAACCAACTTTGCACACTCTGAATATGAAATAATGAAAGTCCTCCCTTTCTTATTAAAGTAACACGTACTAAAGCAATTGTGTGGAATGCCTTTCATTAGCAAACAGCTGTCAGGTTTATTCCAAGTTGGTGTTATGCCAAGCCTTCTGCTGGAATCCTGAATGCACTGATTTGCTCTTGTAAAATCATGGTAGGTTTTCATTATCTTTGATATGCCCATTATGGAAAGCACTAAAAATACATTTCCATATCAAGATAAAATAATTTGAAAAGGGGTTATGTTTTTCTGTCTCATTCAGAACAACCAAATGCAAGCAGTTAGTACTGGTTTCATTGTAGAAAGCAATTTGGCTTTATTTCAAGAGATTTTTTCGATTTCTTACCTAACCATATCCAATAGATTCCAAAAGATGAATAAAACCCACACCACATATTTCTCTTGGACTTCTTCTTGACTGGTGATGACCACAAAGAGGATGATTATTCTCTCCGTGAGCTGAGAGAGAAACAACAAAGGCAAGAGTTATGATAATCTGTTAGGCCAGGAAGGTGATTCTCTAATTTTAAATACTAAAGATTCTTTCAAAAGTCTACTGTAACTGGAAATACGTATACTGAACTGTTAACAATGATTAGCTCTGAGGGAGTAAAGTCGTGGGTGAATTTCATTTCCTCCTTTTTGTATTTTCCAAATTATATACAGTAATTGAAAAGATAACATATTTTATCAGAATCAGGATATTTCCCTTCTTGCCACACACGTACATGTGTTTCTATTCACTTCAGCAAGCTTCTGTCGAGTGTGCACTATATACCAGATAGCAACAAAACAAAAAACCAAACCAGTTGCCACTGATTCAGTTCCAGCTCATGGTGACTGCTTATCTTTCAGGGTAGGACTTGCTCCATCAGGCTTTCAATGGTTGTGATCTCTGTGAAGTAGATCACCTGGTCTTTCTTCCGAGGCACCTCTGGGTGGATTCAGACTGCCAATCTTTTAGTTAGTAGCCTAGTGCATAACCATTTGGGCCACCCAGGTTTGCTATATTAGATGCTAAAAAACAAAAAGCCAAACTCAAGTCAAGTAGATTCTGACTCATAGCAACCCAACAGGACAGAGTAGAACTGCCCCATAGGGTTTCCAAGGAGCAGCTGGTGCATTTGAACTGCTGACCTTTCGGTTAGCAGCCATAGCCCTTCCAACCACTGCGCCACCAGGGCTGCTTACTAGATGCTAAGATATACATAAAAATTAAAACATGGTCCTTGCCCCAGAGAGGAGCCTTGGTGGTGCAGTGGTTAAAGCAATCAGCTTCTTGTCTGCTTCCATAAAGATTTACAGCCTTGGAAACCATACAGAGTTGGAATTGACTCAACGGCATTGGTGGTTGTTTGTTGCTGCCCCAGGCAGGGTAGCAGTGGCAGAAGGAGAATGTGGAGCAATAACTATAACGCTGTGTGAATAATGCTCATTTAAAGTGCTTTGTATGGCAGCACAGGTGAGGGCAATACTTCCTGCCCAGGAAAAGGAAGGAGAGAGATTTATAAAGACAGGCAACTTTGAGTTGGATCTTGAAGAATGGATACGGGTTTGTCGGGCTGACTGGAGAGAAGAAAGGGCAAAGAGGCAACATGAGATGTGAAAACACATGGGGTCTGGGGAGTTATGAGAACTCCTGGTGTGCTAGAGGGAGGGTACGCAGAAGGGAATAATAGATGAAACAAAGTGTTTGGGGCTGGGTTGTGAAGGATTTCAAACAGCAGGCTGAGAAATTTCAACTTCATCCTATAGAAAAGCTATCATAATTTTTTGTTTTGTTTTGTTTTTGAATGCAGGGGAGTAATATAATCCTAACCCCCACAAACAACTAGCAGAAAATGAAAAGAATTCACACACTTATGGCTTAGCTCCAACTACTGGCCTCAGAAAAATACATTCCTCTTTCCCAATCTGAAGTTCCTTCTTATGTTTTATTAATATCCCCTGTACGTTCTGCATTTTTGTTTTTACTTGTTAAACATTTTAGTTTGCTCGCAATGGTCAAAAGAATATACTTGAGATTGAAGGAGCATATTAGTGATAAAGGAAAGGGGAAATTGTTTTATAGTTTTCAATAGCTGTCTTTATTTTTAAAGAGATTCAAAGAGAGAAAACACTTGGATAATCTATGACTTAGAATCATAGACTTAGTTCTGGAGAATCATCTCGTGCAGAGAAATCCAAGATTTGCCAACAGTGGGCCACGTGATCAAAAATCCAATGTATAAGCTATATCAGTGTGTTTATGTGGTGAGTCAGTAGTGAGGGTCCTTGCTTGGCTAAGGGGAATTAGATATGATTCAAACCTTAGTCAATCTGTGCAAGCTGACACAGCTGCTTTTCCTCCGTCAGCCTTTCTTTATCATGCCCTAGTTTCTTGATTTAATGTTGGTGGAGTTAATCTTTAAGAGTTCATATTTATACAATGAATTATACTGAACTTCAATTATAATTGCTGAGTGATCCAGGCTTGCTGTCATGACACCTGGCAGCCTTTGGATACAAGATCTTAGCAGCAAACAAATACTTAGGCACCATGTAATCTTTCATTGGATCAATGCCTGCTAATTAGGAAAACCTTTTAGTTTTTGCTAAATATCTCAAGATATGTTATATGTAGATATATATGTATATACATATATTCATATATACATACATGAATATGTGCACCACATACAGACGTCTAATTATGTGGCTGACTTCTGAAAAAACTTAGATACTTGTTGATAAGATGGTAGAGTTTTGTTGTATCTGTAGGGTCCTCTCCAGATATAACATTTTGACATTCACCCAACTCCACCTTCTTCCAAAAGGGAATTTGAGAACCAGAGAAGTTAAGTGGCTTGCCCAAGCTAGTGGCACACTAAAAACATACAAACCCAAGTCTCCTGGTTTCCTGAGTTGTAAGCTATCCATGATGTCAGGCTGCCCTTTCAATGATGAGGACAGAGAAGGAAATCTCGTAAAGGAGAGAGGCTGGAGCTGGACAATGAAACTCATCCATTTGAAAATCATCACACGGGCATTTGTGGCATGTTAGTGATAGAATCCCAATTGCATAGAAATCAGCTATCAATGTGCCAATAAAAATACAAGACGCATACACACATGTGGGTATGTGCCGGCTCCCCCATATATAACACCAGTCTAATTAACAAATTATCTGATGGTTATTTAACTCTAACTTGATCGTTCAATGGCAGCACAACAGGGAATTTGGGTGGAGATATTCTTAAATTAAGGAATACCAATATTTATTGGTTACTTTGTGCCAGGTGCCAAACATGCATCATCTCATTTAATCTCCATAACAATCCTAAGAAGTAGGTGCTATTATTATCATCTGCATTTTACAACAGACATTGAATTTTACAAAGTGGAAGTGACTTGCCTACAGGTCTGGAATCAATTCTCAACATTCTGATTCTACTTCCTTTACTCTTAACCATTAGGCTAAGACTTTCTGAACTTTTTTATTCTATGGGCTACCCCAGTGCCTAATATCCAGGTTATATTTTGTTCTTTACGAAAGCCTCCCTCAAAAATTAAACCTTCAAACAAGAACCTCCTTGATTTTCTAAACCAACATGAAAACAACTCTGAGGAAAAGAAAAGACCTTTTAGATTTATTGATTTTCTTTACATATCATAATTTAAGCAGTTACTTTACTTGGAACTTAACACTTAGAAGAACTTAGCACTCTGCCATTTTTAACAAATCCTATGAGAATGTGATTACTAACGAATAGTCTTGTAATGTTTAGTGCAACTCTAACAGGTAGAATAAAATGTACAGTACAAACCCTATAACTTAGGCCAAGTTAAATACAGTGGTGATGTGGTCTTCTCAAAAGTATGGTAAGTATAAAATAAAAATGCTTTATGTTTTTATGTTCCATTTGGGAATCCTAACCTCCAGGCTAAGCAATGACTAAAACTATGTTGTTCTTTTATAAATTGCAGCTAGCACTTTATTTACAAGCTGTTAAAGGGATAAAACGATACTTCAACTGTAGGGAGAATTCTAAAATCTTAAAAATATATTAGTTTTTGCCTCAAAGACTATTATTTTACCAAAATGATAACCCAAACTATTCCAATCCTGTGAACTTTTGTTGAAGACTTCAGAAACATACCTTATACATTCCGAAACCACCAGTTACTTTCTTCAATAAGACAAAAGCATTTAAAATATTCTATTTTCATGTTTTGTTTAGTTTTTCATACATTCAATAGATAACTAATTAAGTTCATTGTTTTGGGTCCTGGGGGATACAGCAGTGAACAAGATCAAGCCCCTGTCCTCATGGTGTTTATATTCTGCTTGGTAATACAGATAGTAATCAAATGTAGCATAATAGTTGAGAAATCAGGAGCCAGACAGCCTAAATCCAAACTTTTCTTCCACCATTCACACCTATGTGACCTTGTATAATTTACTTAACCTTTGTGTTAAGCAATTACAATGGGGATAAAAATTAATATCTATTACTATATAATATTATATAGAATAAGGTTATTGTGAAAATTAAATGAGTTAATGCATGTAAAGAACTTAGAAAAGTGTTAGACTCATGGTAAGCACTAAGTAAATGTAAGCTATTCTTACTAAGAAAATAAATACATAAATATGTTAATGTAATAATTAGTATATTGACAGGATTTTTCTCTATTTAAATAAGACCATCAGTGAATCAAAGAAAAAATCAATCTCAGCATCTTTAAGATTATACTATGAATATAGCTTTATAATTATCACACTGAGGAATTCCAGGTCAAGTCCAAAGAAAAAAAAAGAAGAAGAAAAATCTAAAATCTTTCCTAGAGAATGGATTTTGTATGTAACTTATTCCCGGGAGACTTTACATTTTGAGAATCTTACAGCTCAACACTATCTTTTGCGCAGTTTTATCTCTAAACAATCTAAACCTCTTCCCAACTCAAAATTGGATTAAAAAAATCTATGTAATTTTATGGAAAATCAGAGTATTACCTAATCTAGCAATACAAATGGCATCTGCTTATCAGCTAAAAAGAAATTAGGGTGAAACCTGGCTGTTTTCCTTAAAAAGTTTAAGACACTTATCCTTTGGAATTTCTTTCACATTTGTGACTTTGAGATCTTTGGAATCATGATTGGCAAGCTGATCCCTGCTTGCCCATATCAGAGGTGAACTTTGTAAATGTAGAAATGGTTCATGCAATCTGGGCTCACAAATGGAATTTCTGTGGGCACAATAATTTTTTATAACAATTCCTAAGTGTTTTGATTAATAGATTTTGAAAGTTGTGTTTATTGTGATGGAGAGGGAAGGATGCGGAATTTATCCATTTTAATTCAGTTATAAACAAAGTCTTTGCATTTCCCAAAAGGTAATGGAGTAACCTGTATTGTGCTTGGGTTTTTTACAGTGCATATCAGTCTAATGTCATGATACAAAGGTTAGGTTTTTGGATATCTCCCCCCCCCCCCAGAGTTGAAACATCCTAAAATTATATCAATAAAAACCTCTCTCTTGGGCTTCCACACAAGTGAAGTCTGAAAAAAAAAACTCTTCAAAATCAGTATTTCAGAGTTTGTAGTACTTCTGCTCTATAAAAGCCAAGTTGTTTTTATTAAATCTACTGAAATCAACCCCCTTTCCCCATTCAGCATTTTTTACTGAACTAATATGCAAACTCATTTGGGAAAAAGGGGTTGGGAAGGAGAGATGCCTAGTTTTCATTTATAGTATTAACATTTCTTAAAATAATTATATGCTTTTGGACCTTCTTACCTTTCTGTTTTAAAAATTAAAAATATCAAAGTTACTACATTTCCTTATATGATTTCAATTGGCATGTAATTATTCTCAAGAATAGAAAATATGTATGTAACTATGTACAGTATTTATTATATTTTTGTCCTTTTCCCCTAATTATATATATATAAAATAATAAAATATGTACTTGTATGTTATATGATTTTGTCTTATTTACGATTTATTTCCTTTAGCAATTTTAGAAATTCATAATGACTTTTCTCTGCCAAAATAAAGATATATGTACAAAACTTCTAAAAATGCACAGAACAACAACAAAAAATAACAGAAAACAAACACACCCCCTATACACACATCACCACCACTTGATACATGTGATAACAATTGCTCAACTAGCTGATCTGTTCCTTGAAATTGATATTCTGGACGACCAGTTCCCAAAAAGAGAATTCACTTGTGGCTTAGAACCTCTCACAGGTAATGTCAAAATAACATCACAATTGTGCAGACATGGTTTTCTGCATGCTGGAAAGCAGCTGGACGCTGTGCATTTTTGGTATGCAGTCAGCTATGACTACCCTGTAAGTAGCTTAGCCTCTATCTTAACCACAATTTCTTCATCTAAAAATGAGGAAACAGGAAAACCAAGAATGATTACACAAACTTAGAGTTTTGTTTATCTGTTTTAAAGCAGCAAGCTCGAAATAACCTCCTGATGAGGGAATTCTAATTGTCTGCACAACTCTAGTAGAGAAAAGGGGAGAAAATGAAACTTTGAACATGATGATAAGTGTTTTTGAAGCTTTCTCCAACACCATTCCACTCTGAAAACCATGGAAAACATGAGAAGTGAATAAAAGAAACAACAAACAGATAAAATCTGAAATGTAAGAGATAAAAAAAGATGGTGTGCAAAGCAACCACAACAAAAACTGACACTAATCACTCCAGGATGAGAATGGGAATTCACTCTCCTCATTTGGTGGTCCCTTACTTAGCCCTCCCAACAACCAGAGTCTTAAAAAATCATTTGAGCCACATTTACGACAGACTTTGCAACCTTTTAACTAAAAGTGTGAATGTATATCGGCCCTTATTTTTAGTTACCAAACTAGGATACAGTTCCTTGATTATAATAATCATATTTCTATAAGGTGTTACAGTTTTAATTAATAGGGATTAAGATCACACTTATATATCCCGGAATTTCTGCAACTCCAATAAATCAGATTCTAAGTAGTATAATACTTTGTACTGTTAGGCAAGCCCTGATAATGTTAGAAAACATAAAAAACACTCAACAAAAATTTTCTGAGCATATTCAAGGTGCTCGGTCAAATTTCTTTCTTACAAAGTTACCCATTCTGTTTCTCACTGGGTACCTTCTCATTTTAGTTATAACTAAATATAATAACTAAAATGACACTAGTCTTGATTTTGAAAATGCTGTTCTGCTATGAAACTAACATTAGCCAACTTAGCCTCATGATCATTGGTACATTTGAGTTTGAATTTGATTATACTCCAAACAAAACAATTTCATATGATAGAATACAACTTTCATTTAACCTAGGTTGTTAATTATGTTCTCCAAGACTGGCATTGTGGGATGCTATATTTCGATACTATACATATTTTAAAGTACAGCAGGCCTGTTAAACAAGTAATAAATGCCAATAAATCTTGTTTCCAAATAATATGCTTCTTCTGGGACAGATCTGTATCCCTTTTTATTTTGTAAGGAAAGAAGTTTAAGGGAATTCCATCTAGGTTTTAGCTAGCTAACTGACTTCTCTGCTATTAGTAGTTCATAATCTGAATATTGTCCTTATTTTAATTTTATGTTTGATATTTCAACACTTAAAATGTCTTCATCGTAATGAATATTATTTCTCAAAATTGACTGAATGGTATACAAAAACAACTTTTACTTAATAAATAAAATTTAAAATCTCCCCTAAATTTGTAATACAGAGTTTCTTAACAGGCTCCTTAGGATTATATTGCTATTTACATCTTTAAAACTTTCATAGTATTTTATGGAAATTTTAATACAGGGATTTATACTATTCCATTTAACAATAATTTAAGGTGAGACTAGGGGAACCCCTGAAACTATGCCCCACCCCCCATGACCAGACGCTCTGTTAATCCAGAAATGAAACCATTCCGGAAGCCCACTCTTCAGACAAAGATTACACAGGGCTATAAAACAAAAAATAATACACGTGAGGAATGTGCTTCTCAGTTCAATCAGATATACAAGACCAAATAGGCAGCTCCTGTCCAAAAGCAGGATGAGAAGGCAGGAAGGGACAGGAATGGGATGAATGGACACAGAGAACCAGGGTGGAAAGGGGGAGGGCGATGTCACATTGTGGGGACTGCAACCAATGTCACAAAACAATATGTGTATAAATTGTTGAATGAGAAATTAACTTGAGCTGTAAACTTTCACCTAAGGCACAATAATAATAATAATAATAAAAAGTAAGGCATATGTTTATGTTCTAAGCACTTCGCTCAGTGCTGGCAATACAAGCAGTCCTCAGGTTACGAAGTTGGAACAGGTGCATACGATTCTTATTTTGCCTTACTTTAGTGCAAGAAGGAGCCCTGGTGACGGAGTGGCTAAGAGTTTGGCTGCTAACCAAAAAGGTCGGCAGTTCAAATCCACCAGCCGCTCCTTGGAAACCCTATGGGGCAGTTCTACTCCGTCCTGTAGGGTTGCTATGAGTCGGTACTGGTATCGACCTGATGGCAATGGGTTTGGGTTTGGTTTCTGGTTAACTCTTTCAAAGAATTAATTCTTCTTATTAATTACTTAAGGCAATGGTTGACTTTCACTGTCATAAAGTCAAGGGAGGCAGTAAATAGAGAAAAGATAAATTATAGACTATTTATTAATAATATGATTAAAGCCTACCTGCAGAAACCTGGGGAGAAGACGGTCTGATTCAATGCCAACATAAATGTGCAGCAACTCCAGGAGGGACATGGACTGGCAAAACTGCATCACAAGTCCAATAGCATAAAAAGTGTCAACCACTGAATCTGTACCCAGTAAAAATACAGATATAATAAGTAAAAGACCCATAGAAAATTAAATCCCAGCCCAAATCTATGTAGCACTTTGCAATAAAATTGAGATTATTTACTTCCTTTCTCATTGAATATGTCACAGATTGTCCAAACAAGCTACTCAATGATTAAGAATGCAATGCAACTGAAGAATGCACTTCATACTGTCCTACATTTTAATCGCTTCTCCTCCAAAAAGAAGTAAAAACTTGAGAAAGAAAGCTTCATGGCTAAAGCTATAGTATTTATTCTCCATATATGAGATTATAAAGCAATCCCTGCACAAAAAGTAACCAGCTAGAATTTACACCACATCAAGAGTACATCGGTTGGGTGTGAGCTTATTAAAGAGTGGCTGTGAAGCTGCCGTGCTCACAACTTTTTCCATTGAAAAGAAAATGGCAGAGATGAGAAGACCATTATTTTAAAGAGGCTTTGTGGAAATGACAGTGATGGTACGGTGATGTCCAATAACATAACATCATATGTGTATGTAGCATTTGTGTCCTCTACATACTTGGTTAGGGTTTTTGTTTATTTATTTAATTTTTGTTAGATTTAAACAGTAGAACTTGGGCCTCTCTGCTCAGTACTTTTGGAGTCTACATTGCAGGGGGCCTAAATGAAATATTGCATTTAAAGAGAGCTGAAGTAGGAGGGAAACAACTGGAAGGACACATTTGTTTTTAAATTTTAAAATGAAATCCTACCATATTAGGGAAGATTTCGCTGTTTCTACTGCCGGGCAAACATTCACATGATGCTAATTTACAAAGTGCAGACTAAGGGTTTTTCTCCTCAGCAGCTCTATAAGGCAACACTATTATTATCATCTCATTTCACAGAGGATGTCTGAGGCAGACAGTCCGTGCTCTTATCCTGCCCTTGTTATAACATGCTCTTATCCTGCCTTTGTTATAGCCCTGCCCTTGCTATAACACAGAATTATCAATTACACAGCTCTGTGAAGGAGGAAGGTAGTGAGTGTTACTTGTGCTTGTTGTTAGGTACAGTCCAGTCGGTTCCAACTCATAGCAACCCTATGTACAACAGAACAAAACACTGCTTGGTCCTGTGCCATCCTCATAATTTTTGTCATGCTTGAGCCCATTGTTGCAGTCACTCATCTCACTGAGGGCCTTCCTCTTTTTCATTGACCCTGTACTTTACCAAGCATGACGTCCTTCTCCAGGGACTGATCCCTCCTGATAACATGTCCAAAGTATGTGAGACGCAGTCACGCCATCAATGCTTCTAAGAAGCATTCTGGCTGCACTTCTTCCAAGACAGATTTGTTCATTCTTCTGGCAGTCCGTGGTATATTCAATATTTTTCACCAACACCATAATTCAAAGGCATCAATTCTTCTTCAGTCTTCCTTATTCACTGTCCAACTTATGCATGCATATGAGGCGAGTGAAAACACCATGGCTTGGGTCAGGCACACTTTACTTCTTTAAAGAGGTCTTTTGCAGCAAATTTGCCCAGAGCAACACATCGTTTGATTTCTTGATTGCTGTTTGCATGGGCGTTGATTATGGATCCAAGTAAAATGAAATCCTTGACAACTTCAATCTTTTTTCCATTTATCATGATGTTGCTTATTGGTACAGTTGTGAGGATTTTTGTTCCCTTTATGTTGAGCTTCACCACACTGAAGGGCTGTAGTCTTTGATCTTCATAAGTAAGTGCTTCAAGTCCTCTTCACTTTCAGCAAGCAAGTTTGTGTCATCTGCATATCACAGGTTGTTAATGAGTCTTCCTCCAATCCTGTTGCCTCATTCTTCTTCGTACAGTCCAGCTTCTCAGACTATTTGCTCAGCACACAGATTGAATAAGAATGGTGAAAGGATACAACCCTGGCGCACACCTTTCCTGATTTTAAACCAAACAGTATCCCCTTGTTCTGTTCAAACGACTGCCTCTTGGTCTATGTACAGGTTCATCATGAGCACAATTAAGTGTTCTGGAATTCCCATTCTTTGAAATGTTATCCATAATTTGTTATGATCCACCCAGTTGAATGCCTTTACATAGTCAATAAAACACAGGTAAACATCTTTCTGGTAGTCTCTGCATTTGGCGAAAATCCATCTGACATGGACATCAGCAATGACATCCCTGGTTCCACATCCTCTCCTGAATCCAGCTTAAACTTCTGGCAGTTCCCTGTCAATGTACAGCTGCAACTGCTTTTGAATGATCTTCAGCAAAATTTTAGTTGTCTGTGATATTAATGATATTGTTTGATAATTTCCGCATTCTATTGGATCACCTTTCTTTGGTATGGGCACAAATATAGATTTCTTCCAGCTGGTTGGCCAGGTAGCTGTCTTCCAAATTTCTTGGCATAGACGGGTGAGCACTTGCAACCCTGCATCTGTTTGTTGAAACATCTCAATTGGTATTCCGTCAATTCCTGGAGGCTTGTTTTTCACTAATGCCTTCAGTGCAGCTTGGAATTCTTCCTTCATAACCATCGGTTCTTGATCATACGCTACCTCCTGAAATGGCTGAGCATCGAGCAATTCTTTTTGGCCCAGTGACTCTGCGTATTCCCTCCATCTTCTATTGATGCTTCCTGTATCGTTTAATATTTTCCTCGTAGAATCCTTCAATATTGCAACTCGAGGCGTGAATGTTTTCTTCAGTTCTTTCAGCTTGAGAAATGCCAAGCATGTTCTTCCCTTTTGGTTTTCTAACTCCAGGTCTTTGCACATGTCATTATAATACTTTACTATGTCTTCTCAAGTCGCCCTTTGAAATCTTCTGTTCAGCTCTTTTACTTCACATTTCTTCCTTCTGCTTTAGTTATTCTACGTTCCGAAACAAGTTTCAGAGTCTCTTCTGACATCCATTTTGATTTTTTCTTTCTTTCCTATCACTTCAATGACCTCTTGCTTTCTTCATGTATGATGACCTTGATGTCACCACACAACTCAACTGGTCTTCAGTCATTAGTGTTCAATTCATCAAATCTATTCTTGAGATGGTCTCTAAATTCAGGTGGAATATACTCAAGGTCATACTTTAGCTCTCGTGGATTTGTTCTAAGTTCCTTCAACTTCAACTTGAACTTGCATATGAGCAATTGATGGTCCGTTCTGCATTTGGCCCCTGGCCTTGTTCTGACTGATGATATTGAGCTTTTCCGTCTCTTTCCACAGATGGAGTTGGCTTGATTTCTGTATATTTCATCTGGCAAGGTCCACGTGTATAGTCACCATTTATGTTGTTGAAAAAAGGTATTTGCGATAAGAAGTCATTGGTCTTGCAAAATTCTCTTCATGCAACATCCAGCATCATTTCTATTACAAAGGACATATTTTCCAACTACCATTCCTTCTTGTTTCCAACTTCCACTTTCCAATCTCCAGTAATTATCAATGCATCTTGATTGCCTGTTTGATCAACTTCAGACTACAGAATTTGGTAAAAATCTTCTATGTCTTCATCTTTGGCCTTAGTGGTTGGTGTGTAAACTTGAATAATAGTCATATTAACTGGTCTTCCTTGTAGGCATGTGGATATTATCCTATCGCTGACAGCATTGTACTTCAGGATAGATCTTGGAATGTTCTTTCTGACAATGAATGTGACACCATTCCGCTTCAGTTTGTCATTCCCAGCACAGTAGATCATATGATTATCTGATTCAAAATGGCCAATACCAGTCCATTTCAGCTCGCTAATGTCTAGCATATCAATCTTTATGTGTTCCATTTCATTTTTCATGATTTCCAATTTTCCTAGATTCAAACTTCATACATTCCACGTTCCTATTGTTAATGGATATTTGCAGCTGTTTCTTCTCATTTTGAGTTGTGCCACATTAGCAAATGAAGGTCCCAAAAGCTTGACTCCATCCATGTCATTAAGGTCCACTCTGCTTTGAGGAAGCAGCTCTTTCCCAGTTGTACTTTGAGTGCCTTCCAACCTGAAGGGCTCATCTTCCAGCTATATCAGTCAGTGTTCCACTGCTATTCATAAGGTTTTCACTGGCTAATTTTTTCAGAAGTAGACCGCCAGGTCCTTCTTCCTAGTCTGTCTTAGTCTGGAAGGTCAGCTGAAACCTGTCCACCATGGGTGACTCTGCTGGTATTTGAAATACCGGTGGCATAGCTTCCAGTATCACAGCAATACGCAAGCCACCTCAGTATGATAAACTGACAGACAAGTGGAGAGTGAGTGTTGCTAGTTCATGTTATTAGGTTGTTGTTGAGCTACTTAATTTATACATTGATTCAGGAATTGTACTGAACCCTCGCTTAGTTGACTTCAGACTGCCTTCCATGGGTTGTGTTTCTTTATCAGTAGATTCTATAATTATAAATATAATTATAATTCTACATATATTATATAATATATATCCTATAATTATAATTATAATGGCAGTGTAATGAAGAAATACACTGCTGACTAAGGCAACTTTTCCCTTTGGAAAGGCCACGGTATCCCTGGCAATGTTGGGTTCATGAAGCATTGAGGCAACATCAGAAAGAGTCTGTGGTTTGTGACTCGTGTTGCAAATGACCTATAATCTCCTCACACAGCCACGGTTTACTTCCAAGGCCTAGAAAGGATGATTTTTTTTCTAAAAATATGAAGGAAGTTTTCCCATTTTGTGTTTCCCAGCCTCTGTTTTCCTCTGCTAAAGATACCCAATGCTGAACGCTCCTTTGTGAAATTCAAGCCTTCAGTTATATCTTTGGAGGTTCTTAACAAATACAAGAATTTATCTGTAGATTTTCAGTAAAGGAAAGCAACATAAAATAGTTCATGGGACCCCAGAAGTAAATTACTTCCTTTATAATATAGAAGTCTGAAGTGATGAGCACAGCATAACTTTTCCCAGAAATATTCTACACATTTGTTTTTAGCTGAAAACAGCAGTTACTCAAATTGTCAAGTCACTCAACAGTTGTAAACCGTGATGACACATATCCATGTGGGGTGGAACGTGAGAGAATGTTACTTTGACAGTCATTTCGTGATTCATTTTTTTTTAAATTGAAATGCTATCTAAAAACCAGTGTCTTTATTTTTTAGGAAACTGGAGGAAGTTTATGACTTAATGATTAATGTGTATACTAATACATTAATGCCCAGAAATAGTCCCATATAGGTGACTAGTCATCTCCAAAGTGTGTCATTTTCTTAATAGCACATGACTTCTCAAGAGGAGCAAATAAGCCCCGGGAAATGTGAATTCTGTCGTTCACTTATTAGTGATCTCCAATTATCTGAAACCTGGGGAATAAAAAGCACTGAGAGAATTTGGTTAATTCCCAATTTCTGTGCACAAAATGTTATTTACAGATTTCCTCAAAACACATCAACTCTGGTAAAGTTTGGACCAAAAAGGAATAGCGAAAGGGTACCATCCAAAGGCCAGGCATGTGTTTTCAGGGTAAATTGCCTAGACGGGGGAAGCCAAGTCACTTTCCCTTATTCTACTTCCTCCCTCTCCAAAAAGGTTTTCTTTTTTGCAACAACCAATAAATATAGTCAGTGAAAAAATATAAATTTTAGAGGACTGAAGGATATTGGGTGAGGAATATAGAAATTAAACAAAAAGTTAATATAAGCAGGACTAGGTGAAAACAATGATTAAAAGTTTAAAATCTAAAATTCGAGTTTTACCTTTTCCAAATGAAAAAAATCTGGCTGTCATATTTGTAAAGATCCATGAGTGGCCACAGAACTGGATTAAATAATAGACGAAAAGACAGGCATTCTTCCTATACCTATAAATACAGGAAAACACCATTAAACACTTCCTTTGTAATGATCCTTTCCACATTATACTGCCTATATGTTTAACAGCCTACTATTCTACTACCAAAGAGACCTGGTCGCGGAGTGGTTAAGCACCTGGCTGCTAACCCAAAGGTCTGCAGTTCGAACCTACCAGCCACTTTGCGGGAGAAAGATGTGGCAATCTGCTTCCATAAAGATCACAGCCTTGGAAACCCTACGGGGCAGTTCTACTCAGTCCTACAGGGTCACTATGAGTCAGAATCGACTCCAAGGCAATGGCTTTATTCCATTATCAGAGTCTTTTACTTTGTTACCCCTAAACGCACTTCAGATTTTGAAGGAACTCCATAGTACACACTGTCTGATAAAGTGACTATCTTGCATTTGCTTAAAGCCAAGTATGGCTCTACTTCAAAATCAACTTTCATCTTTGATGAAGTTCTAACCTTGCTGTTCACCAAGGGTTACAAAGCAATTATTGCAAAGATGGCTTTGAATATTTTAGGGGAAAAAAATAACATGGATGAAAAAGGGTTGATGTGGTCAGGATGTGTTCCAGAAGCTCAGCCTACTAAGTGCAGAACCTGAGACATAACAGGTTTGTAGTAACAAGAGGGGAGCAGTAACGGCAGCAATCCTAAATGGTAGATAAGTGAAAAAGCAGACATACCTGACTTTCGAATGCATGATGTGATTGAGGTCCGTATCTTGTCCCTGCCTACTATTATGTTTTGAGGGCAGATAGAAAGTTTCCTTAGTGAGGCACATATGGAAAGCAGTTCAGTCACTCAGAAGGCCAGAAAGGGGAAGTCAAGCCGGGTTTAAAAATGTGTTGTGGGTTGCTGCCAGGATGACTAAGAGAAGATTGACAGATACCCTGTTTGAGGGAGTTAGCCCTGCCAGTGTGAGACAACTCAGCCAAGGTTTTCTCCTTGGTGGAGATGTGCAGCTTCTGAGAAACAGGGCAAATAAACTGAGAAGAGATACAATTTGGCTGTGTGGTTTCAATCGGGCCCCTACTAGCTGTCATGAACTCCTAAGGGGTGGAGAGGTACATCAGAATCAAAACCTAGGATATTAGTTAAATATAAGGATTCCCAGACTCTACCCCTATACCACTGAGCCGGTTTCTTTGGAACTGGGCCTGGAATCTATAAGTGCGATAGGTGTTTCTGCAGTAAAAAAAAAAAACAAAAAAAACAAAAACCCGTTGCCGTCGAGTCGATTCCGACTCATAAGGACCCCTATATGGCAGAGTAGAACTGCCCCACAGGGTTTCCAGGGAGCGGTTGGTGGATTCGAACTGCTGACCTTTTGGTTAGCAGCCCAGCTCTTAACTACTGCACCACCAGGGCGCCATTAAAAAAAAAAAAAAAAAAACCGTCGTTGTGGAGTAGATTTCCACACCTAAAAGCTACCTTGCAACACAGCGCCCCAGAGAGTCAAATGAAGGGCTCCCAGTCGAGGGATGGAGGGGGAGCTGGACTGGGGACTGGCATAGGACGTACAACGGGGAAGGAGTGGTCATACAGCCTGTCTCTCCCATTGCCTCACGTGTAAAACGGGGAAAATAACAGTGCCTTCCTCCTAAGGTGGTCGAGAGGGTTAAATTAGTTGATATCTGGCAAGCGCTCAAGGGCCTGAGTGCTGCAGGGCTGCTGGGGTACCCGGCGGGTGTCCGCCCGCGAATGGGGACACTCCTGCCCCGGGGCTCCCTCCCGTCCCCTCTCCCTGGCCTCAGCCAGTCGCCCTACCTGGACTGCAGCCAGGTCTGGGGCAGCGCCATTGCCGCGGGGCTGCCGCCGCCGCCACCTCCACACCGTCGGGGAAGGAGCGCCGCAGGGAGGCGGGAGCAGTCCCCGGGACCCCGCCTCGCCCGCGCGTCCTCCCGCGGGGCCCTGGCCCCGCGCTGACTGGGAGCGGAGGGGCGGAGCCTCTCCTCACTCAGCAAGTTGCCAAAAAAAAAAAAAAAAAAAAAGCCGGCGGTCATGCCAGAGGGCTGGCTGCGTGAGGTGGCCCAGACGCTGCACATGGCCAGGAAGCTGTCAGCATTCCTGTCCGGTTGACGGAGCTCTCCTTATAGGACTCCTAATCTTTACTCGGAAACCCTGGTGGTGTAGTGGTTAAGTGCTGGCTGCTAACTAAAAGGTCGGTGTGTTCAAATCCACCAGGGGCCACTTGGAAGCTCTATGGGGCAGTTCTATTCTGTCCTATTGGGTCGCTATGAGTCAGAATTGACTGGATGGTAATGGGTTTGGTTTTGGTTGTTTTAATCTTTACTCTGAGACCCAGCTGGGAACCCCGTCTCCAGACAAATGTCCGTCTGCACAGACTCGCACCTCTGGCAAGCGACTTCGGGAACCCAGGCCTTCTGGGATGCGAGGACCTCAAGGTGGGCACCTGGCTTATTACCACCAGCTGAGAGAGTTTCAGAGACAAAGCCCTGGTCACACCTCCCTAAACACGTTCTTGTCAGTAAAGGGGCCTGATTGGTCCGGGTCAGGCGTCTCTGCCCTCAAATCTCCCCACGTCCTCACTGGTGCTTCGAAGTCTTTTTATTCACATCATATTCATCTCCCTGCCCTATCCACAACACTGTAAAACCTTTCCTGATCTCTCAGGCCTCTGGCATTACTGCTTTCTTCATACTCAGATGATCACCTTTTACATCGCTCATAAAAAAAAACGGAAGTATACAACAGAAAACACAAAAAAGCTCTGTGAGTTGGTAGGTGATACCCCCATTTTACTGAAGGGGAAGTTGAGGCTTTAAATGTTCAAAGTCACTTGCCACAAGCCACACAACTGATAAATAGCAGTTTTAGAACTTCAAGGCCAGCATTTTTTTTCTTTAGGCCACAGCTTCCTTCCTCATAGGCCATTCACCACCTCCATCTCCAACCTTCACATTTCTCTGTATCTTCACTCATCCCCCACCCTCTCTGTCAGAGGTTCACCCTCCCCTTTGTGCACCAGTCGCTCCCCAATTCTCATACTTTGTTACCCAGCTCAGTTGCTATGCAAAAGGTGGGCAGTTCAAATCCACCAGCTGCTCCTTGGATACCCTATAGGGCAGTTCTACTCTCTTCTATAGGGTCGCTATGAGTCGGAATTGACTCCACCAGCAGCGGGTTTTATGGGCCTACATCTTCACTCTCTTCCTTTCCACTAGCTTTTACCACAGTTCAGGAATCTAGTCAAATCTTTCTTACTCTAGAATTAAAAGTTTTATTCTTCCTGCTTCTCTCTCTCTTTTTTTTAATTTTAATTTAATTTTATTTTATTGTTGTACTTTAAGTGAAAGTTTACAATTCAAGTTAGTCTCTCATACAAAAACTGATACATTCATTGTTATGTGACCCTACTTGCTCCCCCTGTACTGTGATAACACACACTCCTCCTTTCCACCCCTGATTTCCCGTGTGCATTCAACTAGTTCCTGACCCTCTCTGCCTTCTCATATAACTTCCGGACAGAAGCTGCCCATTTAGTCTCATGTATCTACTTGAGCTAAGAAGCACACTCTTCATGTGTATCGTTTTATGTCCCACAGTCCAGTCTAATCTTTGTCTGAAGAGCTGACTTCGGGAATGGTTTTAGTTCTGGGTTGACAGAGAGTACGGGGCCATGCTTTCCGGGGTTCCTCCAGTCTCTAATCTCTTTACTAGAATTTGAGTTCTGCACCTCACTTTTGTCCTGCTCCATCAGGGACTCTGTTGTGTTCCCTGTCAGGGCGGTCATTGGTGGTAGATTCTAAAATCAGGTAGTGTGAGGCCTCCCACTTTGTTCTTCTTCTTGAGTAATGCTTTACTTATCCAGGGCCTCTTCCCTTTCCGTATGAAGTCGGTGATTTGTTTCTCCATCTCATTAAAAAATGCCGTTGGAATTTGGATTCAGATTGCATTGTATCTTTAGATCGCTTTGGGTGGAACTGACATTTTCACAATGTTGAGTCTTCCTACCTATGAGCAAGGTATGTTTTTCCACTTACGCAGGTTGCTTTTGGTTTCTTGAGGTAGTGTCTTGTAGTTTTCATTGTATAGGTCTTTTATGTCTCTGGTTAGTTTTATTCCTAAGTATTGTAACTTCTTGGGGGCTACAGTAAATGGTATTGATTTGGTGATTTCCTCTTCAAAGTTCTCTTACTTGGTATAGAAGAATCCAAAAGATTTTTGTATGTTTATCTTGTATCCTGATACTTTGCGGAAATCTTCTATTAATTCCATTAGTTTTCTTGTGGATTCTTTGGGGTTTTCCGTGTATAAGATCATATCATCTGCAAACAGAGATACTTTTACTTCTTCCTTACCAATTTCGATGCCCTTTATTTCTTTTTCTAGCCTAATTGCCCTGGCTAGGTCCTCCAGCACAATGTTGAACAAAAGTGGTGATAAAGGGCATCGTAGTCTGGTTCCCGTTCTCAGGGGGAATGCTTTCAAAGTCTCTCCATTTAGGATGATGCTGGCTGTTGGCTTTGTATAAATGCCCTTAATTATGCTGAGGAATTTCCCTTCTATTCGTATTTTGTTGAGAGTTTTTATCATGAATGGTTGTTCGACTTGGTCAAATGCCTTTTCTGCATCAATTGATAAGATCATGTGGTTCTTGTCTTTTATTTTATTAATGTGATGGATTACGTTAATTGTTTTTCTAATGTTGAACCATCCCTGTATACCTGATATGAATCCCACTTGATCATGGTAGATTATTTTTTTGATATGTTGCTGAATTCTATTGCCTATAATTTTGTTGAGCATTTTTGCATCAATGTTCATGAGGGATATTGGTCTGTAATTTTCTTTTTTTGTGGTGTCTTTACCTGGTTTTGGTATCATCATAGAATGAGTTTGGTAGTATCCCATACTTTGCTATGCTCTGAAATACTTCTAGTAGTAGTGGTGTTAACTTTTCTCTGAAAGTTTGGTAGAATTCTCCCATGGAACCGTCAGGGCCAGGACTTTTTTTTGCTGGGAGTTTTTAAATTACCTTTTCAATCAGTTCTTTTGTTATATGTCTCTTTAGTTGTTCTACTTCTGTTTGTGTTAGTTTAGGTAGGTAGTGAGTTTCTAGAAATTTGTCCATTTCCTCGTGGTTTTCAAATTTGTTAGAGTACAGTTTTTCATAGTATTCTGCTATGATTCTTTTAATTTCTGTTGAGTCTGTTGTGATATCACCCATCTCATTTCTTATATGGTTATCTGCTTCCTCTCCAGTTTTTCTTTTGTCAGTTTGGCCAGTGGTTTATCAATTTTGTTGATCTTTTCAAAGAACCAGCTTTTGGTCTTGTTAACTCTTTCAATTGTTTTTCTATTCTCTATTTCATTTAATTCTGCTCTAATTATTATTTCCTTTCTTCTGGCACCCAAGGGCTTCTTTTGCTGCTCTCTTTCTACTTGTTCCAGTTGTAGGGTTAATATTTTGATTTTGGCCCTTTCTTCTTTTTGGATGTGTGCATTTATTGCTACAAACTGACCTCTGAGCCCTGCTTTTGCTGTGGCCCAAAGGTTCTGGTAGGATGTGTTTTCATTCTCGTTTGATTCTATGAATTTCTTTATTCCATCCTTAATTTCTTCTATAACCCAGTAGTTTTTGAGCAAGGTGTTCAGTTTCCATGTGTTTGATTTTTTTTCCTTGCTTTTTCTGTTATTGATTTCTACTTTTATGGCTTTATGCTCAGAAATGATAATATGTTGATGCTTTGGATTCTGTTAAGGCTTGCTTTATGGCCTAATATGTGGTCTATTCTGGAGAATGTTCCATGGCATTGGGAAAGAAAGTATACTTGGCTGCTGTTGGGTGAAGTGTTCGGTATATATCCATGAGATCAAGTTGGTTGATTGTAGCATTTAGATCTTCTGGGTCTTTATTGAGCTTCTTTCTGGATGTTCTGTTTTTCACCAAAAGGGGTGTGTGGAAGTCTCCTACTATTATTGTGGAGCTGTCTATCTCTCTTTTCAGTGCTGTTGGAGTTTGTTTTATGTATTTCGGAGCCCTGTTGTTGTGTGCATAAATATTTATTATAGTTATGTCCTCCTGGTGTATTTACCCTTTAATCATTATATAGTGTCCTTCCTTATCCTTTGT